TCCACGGTAAGCTGCATGCAAAACTAGAATAAACAATATTTTAAATTACAAATTTATTTTAAGAAACCTAATTTCTCCAAGCATTTGATGGTTTCTTTACTCATGTGGTAGAGGTGTGGTCTCTTTAATTATGGGGAAAAAACCAGTATATCAACCGAACACCTAGTTGTTTAATAAAACAAGAAGGGATTAAAACCCATGCTGTGTTTTTTTTATTATTTGTATGTTAGTCAAAATCTCAACAGAGATCTCATTCTTCAGCTTAGAGCCTGGGTGAGGCGGGTCTTCCATTGCAGCGCTGCTCTATGAAATGTCATGAAACTGCACGCGGAGCGGACGTCCGCTCCGTGCTCCCACCTAACGCGGCGCAGGCCGTTAGGCGGCATTGTTTCATCTTTAGTTAAATTTGACTATAGTTAATGTCACGTCAAATACTTAATATTATTGTGCCGAATTTTTACAATGGTCGAATTTAACTATGTTTCAAACAAAGGGGCCTTAATCGTGCACATTGGAACAAATGTATCTCTTTTCATTTTGATTAAAAAAATCCATACCAATTTTTTTTGTAGTAGTTTTTGAAGGAATGTCTAATATTTTTCTATGATAACTACAAATTTTGTCTTCATAACAAAAAACCATTTACTAACTTATTTTCCTATAGATCACCCAGATAATCCTAAAATTGAAAAGGAGGTAAGTACATTATTACATAGTCATTATTGAAAAACTTATTAAAGAAAGTACACGTTAAATCATTTTTTTTTAAATAATTGTGTAATATATAATATTAAAAATAACTATTTCTTACATTACACCCACACCTAAAACTTAAACACAAGCAAAGTTTAACGGTGCCTTTCCAGCTGGGGGACGGAGCGGAGACAAGTGTTTCCATTCGCCGTGCCCAACTAAGCTTTGTAACTGGCTGAAGTTGAGAAGCGCGGAGCTGTGTGGAGTGAAGGTGGGTGGAGTAGAGTAGCGTGAAAATGATCTGAGCAGAGCTGTGCATACATTTTATTTGCAGTTACTTAAACAATTGAACAAAGCAATGTGGCAGCTAAGCAGAAAGAAAACTCCGCTCCGTCTGCATTACTCGTCTCCGCTCCACCACGCATACGCAAAACTTGACTGAGCTTAACTCCAACCAAGGGGCGCATCACTGTGCCTCGCTCAGCATGACAACCACAGAAATAAATCAAGATTAATAGCTCCGCTCTGCCCATCTTAACTACACGCGCTATACATATTATTGTTATTCCTCTCAAGTTTTAACCTTTCGCGTTGCATTACAAATATAATATTTTACGGGTTACAACGCGCACTTTAATAATGATATCGTTATCATTAATAGCTCCGCTCTGCTCATCTTAACTACACGCGCTATACATTTTATTGTTATTCTTCTCAAGTTTTAACCTTTCGTGTTGCATTACAAATATAATATTTTACGGGTTACAACGTGCACTTTAATAATGATATCGTTATTATTAATAAAGTGGGCGTCTTAACCCGTAAAATATTATGTTTAATTCTTCTCAAATTTTGAGCAATGCGATTGGTAATTTTTTGAAGACTGCTTTGCTCCACTTATGGCGAAACACTGCCTAAGGATTGTGTTATGGGAAATTAGGGTGATGAACACAAAAACATATAAGTAATGATACCTAATGTATTATGTTTTAAATACATGTAAGCATTCATGACTCAGATACAAACGCTCTTAGTCATCATACAAATATTTGCCTCTACCGAGCTTCAAACTCCTTTCAATTCCTGAATTGAGTCTGAGCAAGTATAATGAAAACCGATGTACGTAGCATTCTACTACCGGAGATATTTATAATATGTAAAAACAATAATTTAATGCCACATTATCAGACTGGACAACTCAGTTTACGAAACTAAAAATTTCCAAATCAACAAAATTATTAAGACTATTTATATAGGGCAATGACCGCCGCCCATGAAAAATTTATTATTACCGAACTGGTGGTCAAAACTGATTGAAAATCCGATGTTTTTGCGTGTTTCAGAAACGCTGAAATATTACATTCCATATATTCGTGTTCCCAAATATTCGAGGTATTTCATATATTTTTTATGAGTTGCTGTTATAGATAGCGGATTTAGAATACATATTCTGCGAAACACAAATTAAAAAAAGAGATCGAGCCTTACAGTAGTCGTGTAGATGTGTAACCAGTGCCGTCTTTGACCTATTGGAGGCCCTGGGCATATTAGGATAACGGGTCCCCTATAACTTCCGTTTGGTAATTGAACAGGAACTAGGGACTTTGTATTTGATCTGAGGGGGCCCCTATCGATCGCGAGGCCCTGGGCACTTGCCCAAAGTGCCTACTGAGAAAGACGGGTCTTTGTGTAACATTTGAAACCGCACCTTATATTAGTAAAAAAAGAAATAAAACCTACTACAAAAGGAATAAGCCATTTGAACATTATGTTTTATTCACGAGTTTACAGCCTGCTGACAGACTGACTGATGTAGGCTAGGAGCTACGGGAGCAAGCACGAGAAGAGGCGGCACATCGCCCAGAAGATCAAGTCAGTTTAGTTCAGATACATCTCTAGCCCAAGGCACGGACACCTAAGTCTCCGTTGTCACCCCTTGAATATGGAACACCATAGAAAAATAAAAATAAAAAGTGCATTGTTAACTTTCCTAGAAGATCAAAATACAATTTAAATATTATTATTGATATCCTACTTAATTATCATGATAAACATAATATGATACATGCAATGATTAATATTAGTAAATGAGAAAAAAAAATATATAAATCTATTGAAAAGTTTAATAGAAAAAAAATTAAACGAAGTAAACTTTTCTTTTGATTTAAACATCTAGCAGTTAAATGCTTAAAAATAAATAAAATCATAAATAGATATATATATAATATATACTATAATTTTGTATTTGGCCTTGGCAAAATTCAAACCATGCCTACCATAAAAAACACATTTTTTTTCATCCCACCACCTCGGAAAGTGTAATTTTGCGCTTCGAAATCTGGCTGGAAAATTCTATTTTATTCGCTTGAGCGGCAAAGTAGATTTGAATTTAGAACATCACATATAATGAGTACTCAATATAATTGTAAATTCAAAACGTCATTAAACCTATTTAATGTAACCTCTATGGTGCCAAATTTATGATTAGAACTTTTTAAATTGTGAAAAAATTTAAATTTGGAACCTTCTTGGTTTCTTTGTTTTATTTGCGTGCTTCGCGCCATTCTAGTTTTTCACGTTTTATTGCTTAATATAATTAACATAACCTAAAAACTGTACAAAAAAATCAACTAAAATGAGTGACATTAGCGACGATGAAGTTTATCTAACGCCAACTGAGTTAACTGAAACAGTTAATAATGCGCAAATGAGCCTTCTCCCTCAGCAATCACGAGAGAAGTATTTGAAACAGTACGATATATTTAACATGTGGCGACTAGCTAAAGGAGCAAAAACTTTCTCCGAAAACGTTTTGCTGGCATATTTTATAGAATTATCTGAGACCAAGAAAGCAAGCACGCTATGGAGTACGTATTCAATGCTAAAATTAACAATTAAGATGAAGAAAGACGTTCATATCGACACCTATCATAAATTAGTGGCATTTTTAAAAAGAGCCTCATCTGGTTATAAACCAAAAAAATCGAAGGTTTTCACAGCATCTGAAATTGCAAAGTTTATTAATGAAGCACCTGATTCCGTATATTTAGCGGCAAAAGTAAGTCAATACGTGTAATTTTTTGTTGTTGATAAAATTGTACATAGTACTTACAATATTTTTAATTTGATTAATTTATTTACGATTATAAATACTTCTTTTGTTACAGGTTGTTCTTATTATTGGTATAACCGGAGCATGTCGAACAAATGAACTTACACTACTTAATGTCAATAACGTATCAAAATATTCTCATAATTCTGATGAATTGCTATTAATTAATGTACTAAATACCAAGACAAAAAAAGACCGCAACTTCGTTATTCGCAAGGAATATGTAAACATTGTTCAGAAATATCAAGCTTTACGTCCTTCTAACACCCCAATTGAACGATTTTTTCTACAATATCGCAACGGAAAGTGTATCCGACAACCTATGGGTCAGAATAAAATTGGCAGTATTCCACGAGAAATAGCAACTTTTCTCGGACTTTTAGAACCCCCGTTATACACCGGTCACTGTTTTAGAAGAACCTCAGCCACACTTTTGGCCGAATCAGGGGCTGATCTTCTATCGCTTAAGCGCCATGGAGGCTGGAAGTCTAATTCGGTTGTAGAGGGATACATAGAGGATTCAATCCAAAGTAAATCAAAAATTTGTAATAGTATCGTGGAGGCCATAACGCTGAAAGAACCTCTGTCAGATTCTTGGTCTCGCCCTTCTACATCTAAAATGAGCCCCCATAAGATTGGAAACAATAGCCCTCTCTCGCCAACATTTACGCCAATAGAATCCAATGAATCGGCACAACTATTTAAAATTACTGATACGAGTAGTTTACCACAAAACAGCGCACAATTCACAAACACCAACATAACATTACCTAACAAAAATATTAAACTTAACATAAGTAACTGTAGCAACGTTACATTTAATATTTCTTAATTATTTTCTACTTCTTATTATTTTCTTCAATTTATAGATTATCTTAATGTGTTTTAATTGAAATAAAAATATTTTGTCATTATAAATTGTTTTCTTTTTCATTTTGTCATTTCCTCGCTGAGGTGGGATGAAAAGTTACGTATTGCACTCGAGTGGAAAGATTTTTCACCTTGTGCTCGTTTGTTTCCCTCGCTGACGCTCAGGATTCTAATTTAGAATCACTCGCTGCGCTCGTGATTCAACTTTAGAATCCTTCGCTTGCTCGGTCATCCAAATCGAGCACGCGGTTAAAAAGGAACTTTCCACTCTTGTATAATAAATAACTATTATTATAATTAATAAGTTGAACTCTAGTTTACTTACTGGCAATTTAATTGCAAACTTCTTGTATAGAATAAAAAACACCGCACTTTTTAATAACTGAGAATAACACGTGCTTTAACACAAACGTACAGCTCAAAACTGACACCGGCTTTCTGAGAAATGTACAAGAGACGAGATGAAATTATTCTCGGATTCAATTTATGTGTACGCTTACTTTCACTTCAAACTATTATAAACCTTAAGATAAGTAAAGTAAGAGCTTTCAGGCTTGAATTTTTGTTTGTATGGCAGATTTTGAATAGAAATACATTCGAAAACGGATGTGTTATGTTTGGTTGGTGAAAGAGTGACAATGCATTTGCAGTAGGAACTGCATTTCTAAGGCGCTAGACATACAGGACAGACGTAAGACGCAGACGGGGCGCGCACATAATGACGTCTCTTCTACGTCCTTTTCATAAAAAAGATATAGAAGCGTCGCGTCGTGAATACATACAGCAAAATCGATTGAATAATTATAAGAATTTTACTTAAACGTTGGATTTGATATTCACAAACATGATATTAAACATATTGTGAATGTTTGTCTGTCATTCTGTGTAAATGGTGTAAAATATAAGTAAATATTTGTAACATCAATACCTTATTCCTATAAATTACATTCGAATAGGTACATATACCTAACAAAAACTAATGAAAAAAATAAGTCTTAAAACCCATAACAACACAACCTATTCATCCACTGCAACTTGGCACTACACTTGGCTATTTGTAAACTTGACAGCAGTCTTTCCTTGCGATTTTTTTTATAATAGAAAAGTGGCAAATAAGCGGCCACCATAGACTATAAACGCTTGTAATACCAAATTTACGCACCGTTGCCTATTCTGACCCAATCCCCTACGGAATGGAGCCCTGGACCTTTACTCACCTTGAACCTCAATTACACCACCAAAGGTTATTTAGGTAGTGTTATTTGTGTTGTGGAGGTAACTTCCCCAGGCGGCAGCTCATTCCTTTTTTTATCAGAGTCAATCTTAGAATTGAACGGATTTTTATTTCCATTCTGTTCAGCAATATAGCCTTTACATCATACTTTAATACAAGATATAAGACACTCATTAGAAAATTATAGTCACAGCCGGCTGCCTCAGCATACCAACACATAACCACTAATTAATAATTACAGCATACATGCCTACCTACGAACAACCTGCGCACATCTGCATGAATATTCATGCTAGAAAGCAAACTAATTCAGTAAATAGCCGAAAATATATAAACAAATGCACATTGATTAAAATTTTCAAATATTAAAATAAAATTACGTCTCTAAATAAAATTTAGCTCTACATTAATGTTTTTTTTTCAGAAACCTGCAGTTGCTACAAACTGAAAATGTTTAACCTTTCTGTTATAATAGTAAAAACTTTATTTAATAAAAACTTTTTTAACAAAAATAAAAACTGACTTGACTGAACAAAACCACTTATATTACGACGGCCTCCGTGGCCAAGTGGTTTGTATGCCGGGTTTCATGGCGTCGCCGACTCGAGAGGTCCCGGGTTGGAATCCCGGTGGGGACAGATGTTTGTTTGATGAATAAGAGCATTTGTACTCCAGTCATGGATGTTTAATATGTTTTTCTGTATAAATATACTTATATATGTACAGTATATGTATTCTATCCGTTATCCTAGCATCCCATAACACAAGCCTTACAGTGCTTACTTTGGGGCTAGGCTAATTGGTGTGAGTGTTGAAAATATAAAAAAAACGTTAGACAATTAAGGTCTTTACTTATTAAAGTCAAATCAACATGATTGTGCCAACGGGGTGCCGTGCCAGCCCAAGCCAAGTAAATGGTAACCATCTGGTAACTCAGATCTATCAACATTCGTATTATGATCTATCAACATCAGTCACCATTCCGACACATCCCACGCATAATTCGCCAACTGAAAAAATGAAATTTTACAGGACAGCCGTTTGAAAGTTAAAACAGCTCTAACTCAATCAGTGCTGCAGATAGCGATTTCAAAATTAGAATGCAGATCTAATTTTTTATTTTCAAATTAAGTGTATTGGACTTTTTTTTATCCTTCTAGATATTGAAATATAGATATATATATTTATTTATATATATATTTTGTACTTAGAGTTGTGCTTCGGAAGTGAATCGCTAATATTTTGTATATGTGCCAGATAAATGCCTAAACACGAGAGCAAAATAACTAGCACACACAATTAACTGCCTCATCTAATGTAATGTATTGGAAATTTTAAAATACAGTTGTATGTAAGTGTAAGAAAGAAAAATATTTAATTTCTTGACAGCATATAACATACTCACAACAAAATAAAGGATAGTGTGTATTTTATAGTTCAAAAATTATGCAAATAAAACATAAAATTTTCAAAATATCTATGAATGCGGGTAATACTGGAGTGCCGAAACCTGTGCCTTGTAGAGTTGCAATCGGTGAGCTGGTGTGAAATTCTCGATCCATTGAGCATACCAAGCAAGAGAAATTGGACGTCCCTCGATAGCTATCTTTATAGAAATATTCTCAAAATAATAGCGTAGCATAAAAGTAAAAAAACAAAAATGAACTTATTTTATCCAAAAATTTTATAATGAAAATTATCTTCAGATTGCCTTTTCATTACGCACTGTTTACACTATGGTCTTCTTAATAATGTTCGGTTACTTCTGTAAATATTAATAATAATAAACTAGGCACTTTAAAAATTATTTTGAAAAAAATGGTACAGAAAATGCTCAATGAGACACTGTCTAATATACGTATATCGATTCAGTCATAGACTAGGATTTCTTATATCGCAACCAGTAAAAAAAACACTTGAAAATGTTATAAAAATACCGAAGGACATCCTGTAACATATAAGTCTTGTAGTTTTTTAAGGAATTCGTGGGAAATATTTACTTTTCCTACCATGATTCGTAAAATTGTAAATCCAACTTAAAACTGTGATAGTTTTGACGTGACAACGTCTTAAATTAGGTTGCGGCTGGGAGTCACTTATGAAAAAGTGTAACGCTCGGTAACGTTACGATGAGTTTAAGTTTACATGTACAATGTTTTAGTAAACAAAATATATTTCTATAGTTAAAATTTGTGCAATTCTTATTTTCATTCAATTCCTTGTTCCTATTGTGCAATTTAATTATATTCATATCAATAAATATTCTACCGAGAAAAAGACGTTGTCACGTAAAATCTTCGCCCGTAAAACCGACTTTACAGGCAACCATTTTTTCTCTTAATTTTATTATAATAATATGCTAAATGCTACCGTGTAATGTTTCACATACCATCGGAGCCACAATAATTTTGAAAAACCTGTTCAAAGACACCTTACACTGTGGGTTAGACGAAAAAACATTACAGCCTCAGTTTACATGTAGGGGAGGAACCCTGAAAAAAGGTGACTGTTATAAACAGGGGTTTCCAATAGGTACAGGGTATCTTTGTCAGCCTATCATCCATTTGCTCAAATTTTAAATACTTACACGTTGTTTTGATTTGGGAATTATTTTATGTACCAGGCACTATACAGTTGTGCAAAGTGATGAAATTATTAAAAGGTATTGTCAAAACAGTAGTTCAATAATTCATCAAACATTTCGAGCGTTGTGAGAAACTTGTGATCAACGTGACCGTCTTCAAACCCCTTGACCCTTTTTGTCATATAGTGAAATAATTTTAAACTACTGGTTTGGGCTTGGCTTCAAAATCCTTAAGAGATTCATGAAAGGCCATTCCATTTTGAAAGAATGAATATCTGATACGTTTTTACGAGAAAGAGGTCGAAGCTGACTTAATTGTGAATTGGTGATCATCACTGGATCATAATTCGGTTTTTTTTTGTTTGCAATTGAAAGAAATTGATCTGAGGTACATTTGGTTTCAGCAGGGTTTATTCGAATTCAAACGTACCTGAAATATATACTTGCTGAGTTACAGATTTCTAGTAGTAATATTCTCAGAGCTAAGCTGCAGACGAACAGAGGGCATAACTATAAGTGTTTGTAGACTCGGAATACTAAAATCAATGAACAAAATATTTGTAAATCACAAAAAAAGGTCAATTATAAAGAAGGTATTTGGATTGGTTAGGTTTCGTATAACATATTATATGTACTTAGATGAAACTTACACCCTTTACATAGACAAAAGATGAAAGTTAAGCGAGAAAAGACCGATCGAATGTCTAATAACCTTCTATAATTCTAGATGAATGTTCTTAAGAAATATGGGGTCCCTTGAACTACAACTACCTCCTCAAATTATTTAGACAAAGATAGTTATACATACAGGGCGTCCTACGGGTACCTCACACGGAGGGAAAGTATATTAAATATTGAAGATAGGATATTTTACCGAAAGAAGACAAAACTTAATATTAATTATAACTAGAACTGCATTCACAGTTTTTTTTAAATAAAAATTTAAACATAAAAAATGTTTTTTTTTTCGAAATTTCACGAGTTTGATTCTCAGTTGTAGCAGTCGATTTTAAAAAAATCTGTGAATGCATTGCTAGTTATTATCAAAAATGAAATGATGTCTTCTTTCAGTAAAATATCCTATCTTTAATATTTAATATGAGGTAGCTGTGGGCCGCCCTGTATATATATTATAAGGATTTATAGGTACGTTAAACTGCTGCACCAGTTATTTTCACGTCTAGACTCCATCAACACTTAACATCAGAGGATAATTTCGATGGAATAAGTGGGGAAGCGCCCTGGCTGTGATCGTAGATGTTAAGCAACTTTCGCAATCGCCAGTCATCGAATGGATGACCAAAAAATTATTATCTTAAGTTCCTTCGGAAGGATCGTCAAGCCTTTGGTCCCAGCTGTATTTGCACCAATACCGCCTGGGCACGCGTGGTGATTATCTATTATGGCCATATATTCCTATTCCATCCAAAGGGAAGGCCTGTGTCTCTAGTGGGGAAATTAATTTAAAAGTATCAATCGCACATTGTCTTTCAAATGAATCGAAAGATTTTCACTTTCCGACTTCTAAATAGCCATAGGGCCGTGTTTGTTTTTGCAGTACGCTCTACAATGAAGGCCAATGTTCTGTTGTATTCATATAAAGTCAAGTATTTATAAATACATTCAAACAATAAAATTCCAACAAAGGTTTGCTGGCTCATTTTAAAAAGAGAAAACAGTCTTTTTAAGCGCGTGCACGCATGCCTATATGCAGCGGCTTTTTCAACAAACAAACATTTAGTTGATGTCGCCTTAGTACAATGGGATTAAAGGCGACATCGTTATGGTATCTGATAGGCGTGAAGTCTTAAATAGAAAGTGCTGAGGCTATCGAGTGAGTGAACAGCCTTTGTGACGAGTGCCGTTTCCATTAAGGTTGTCACTTGAAAATAAATAACACATTTTCGAGAACTCTCAACATGTATTCCAAAGCACATAAGCATTGCCTGTACTATGGAAACTATTGGGCATACCTATATAGTTATAAATTCGTACTATCTATGTATGTAGACAAGCTCTACTACGACAAGTATTTGTGCTCATCCATCACACATATTATACAATTTTACAGTGAGATTAGGAGCATTAAAATAAAAAATGGTTCAAGAGCATAGTGTATGTGAAAGCGTAAAAGACAGAATATCGGTAGTTCATAACAGAAGTTATCTAAGAAGAATTTTGTTAATGTTGAGGAATAAACAAAAAAATAAAAAAAACAGAAATGTCATAAATAAGAGTTAGATCGAAAAAGTAATAGCATTTGCATTACTTTCATACAAACTTACTTCACATCCAGGAACCCAAAAAGTTACTTAGCTTAGTTTTGTCAAAAATGCTTCTTGGATTACTTCTGTACTGAACTAGCCATACCTATACATACAACGAACAGAGAATATTATCATAATTAATTTAATTGTATGGATAAGTAGGTACGTGAACGAACGACGATGAAAGAAGTTTAAGATTCGACAACCCTGCATATCACCAGTATTTACAGAGCTTTCAACTCCGGTGATCCAGTTGTGTGGAGAGTCTGTGGTACATTGGTATACCTATAATGATTTATATTGCAGCGAAGCGTAAATTATATTTGATACGTTCCACTATATGACACTTTCTATAGAAAAATGGATGGTCATTTTGTATATAATAGTTCTGAATGCCAATTTAGTTTCCATATATAATATTTATTCTATTTCCTACAATAGTGGAGTGAAAGTAAGGATATATTTTTAATTCCGGTAAAAACTTTCGGTCGTGTGGGGTTTGAACGATTACCTACAACTCTAGGACGTAATATATGTTCTACAGCTAGATTTTCAGTGATTTATATACCCGTTATAGCTTACCCTTACTTAATTGATTCTTTAGACGAAGTGGACGCAGTCTAATGTTTGAACAAAATAAAATTTTAAGAATTAATTACCGTAATACCTAACTGCATCTGTCCTAAAGAGAAAAACTGTACAATTGGCTTTAATTCGCACGGCGGTAGTCGACTGAGTAAATGGAATGACCTGTAAAGCCTTAGGTCATTATTTTACCAAGTAATATTGCCAATGCAACTTGTCCTTTATTATCCTCTAAAATAGTTTAAAAAATTGCCTTGTTTTTTAAATAGTTAGTCAGCTGGCACCTTCGATCAACAGGCTAGTTCCATTTGCTCACCGAGTAGTCTTTTAAGGAAGAAAAAAAAATCAGTCATAAAAAGATATTATCACCTTGGAGTTCTCTCTTTAAATTAAACCTTGATACAAAAAAATATCTGTAACTGGTTGCTATGAAAACAATTAAATTCAAAACGTCAAAAAAGGTGTTAATTCAGAATGTCAAATTTCGACAAACACGCGAAATTTTAATCGTAGTGGAAGTTATTCAATAAAAATTAAAAAATAATCAATCTAAGCACTATTGATAACAAAACACACAGAGATGTCTACCACTTTGGACTCCCCCATACCCCTCTCTGACATAGAGTCGATATTGGCTTGGGTCGACACTTTTAAGTTGTCTAGACCAACCAGGAAGATCAACAGGGATTTTTCTGATGCGGGTATGTTCAACTTATACAGCTTCATGCCAATATAACCTTTAGGATATTGGCAAAGTATGAAAGGCCAAAAATGTCATGCCATGAGAGATTGAAATGTACTAGCGGAATCTGCACCTCAATCAGCAGTTGTTTGAAAAGGAGGGTCCTCCCAGAAAATCATTGCTAGGAATTAACTTAAGTAACAAACAAAATAAAATAATATTGGAATTACTTTATCAAACAAATTTGAATCCTCTAAGCTTACCTTTTAACATTATTCCAAAACCTTAAAGATGACTTATTCTCTCGTCTTTCGATTACCAAGAACTTTTGTTATATTACATATCTATATATAACCTTAACATTTATATTGTACACATCCAAATAATTTTTTATAACCTTTATATTGTACACATCCAAATATAAATATATATAAATAGTGAATTATGATAAATAGTCGAATAATAAAACGGGTTCACCGCCACGCATACTTAGTGACATTTTAGTAACGATGCGACGAAAACTATTATCACAAAGACGCAACTTTCATATAATTAAATACAATTTTTGGAACGAAGTTCCTTATTTTTTTAAATATATCCAATACACACCAATTAGCCTAGCCCCAAAGTAAACACTATAAGGCTTGTGTTATGGGATACTAGGGTAACGGTTAGAATACATACACTTTACATATATAAGTATATTTATATAGAAATACATATTAAACATCCATGACTGGAGTACAAATGCTCGTGTTCATCACACAAACATCTGCCCCCACCGGGATTCGAACCCGGGACCTCTCGAGTGGGCGACGCCATGAAACCCGGCGTACAAACCACTCGGCTACGGAGGTCGTCAATACCTTTTACATACTTGCTATTTTTTTTAAATCTTTTTCGCACAATGATTGTTCTGAATAAAATTAATTATATTGGATTACATAAAGAAGTTAAAAGTATTTTTAACCAATTTCAAAACAATTCTTAGCATTCTGGTTTGCTATTTTTCGGACATAAAACTAATCCTTTCTTTGTTTTCCTTTCTTTCAACTTTTTCATTTTTGGCTATTGTTCTTGGCCTTGAAGCCATAAGGGACGGGCTCATTAAGTTGTTTTTTGCACTTCTTTGAGAGTGAGGCCTTGCTATTTCTTATGCGTTACATGCAAAAACTAGATCGTCTTTTGTTAGGCTGTGCAAGATTTTATTTAAGATCTGTTTTAAAATAAAGGTAATAATTTGGAATCTATAAACTCGATCAAAAAGCACCATTTAAAAAAAACTGAAATATAAAATTGATTAATAAACTAACCTGCTAAAGGCCTATGTTTTGTAAAAGTTAGTTAATTCCTTTCTATGCTATCACAGTAGAATTATAACTACAAAATCTGATCTTACATTACATTAAATTAAATTGACGTCTTTGAGTAAATAGATTTAAACGTGCGTTTAGTTAAAATTTATCATGTTTATTTAATATATTACTTCAATTTAATAATCATTCATTAGTCTCAATATATCAAGTTAATGAGCAATAAGTATTACATTTGTTTTGCACAGAACAAAATTTTTGAGTATTTTTAGCTTTTTTTAGATATAGGTAGTATTTCTCAATTTTGTTTTTTTTTAATTTTCCCACAGTTCTTCTGGCCGAAATATTGAGCGTGCACTACCCGAAACTAGTGGAGATGCACAATTACCCTCCCAGGAACAGCCACGCACTCAAGCTCAACAACTGGATGACCCTTAACAGAAAGGTGCTGAAGAAGCTGAGGCTTAACTTGTGTTGCAGCACAATGGAGCAGTTGGCTAACAGCGCTCTGGGCGTTATTGAGCGCGTGCTATTGATGGGTTAGTTATAAAGAGAAATGACCGATCTACGGATCGAGATAGTATAAAAAAATCGATTTCCTTTACATTTTTTTTTCATATTCATAACATTTCCTGCCATCACTGCTTTTCTGTAAAATTTCGCGTGAAAATTTTACAGAATAGAACTGCTGGTGAGGATGGTTGGTGTGGCAGTTCATAGCTGCTGCAACAGCTATCTTTGCCTCTGGACTTTGCCACCACTGAACATCAGGGCCGTTTTTCACCAAATGGACATTATATCACTGACATAATGTAAGCCGACGGTTTGTTGTGGGGTGATCTATTTACTGCACCGATTTCATTCATTAAAAGGTCGATATTAGTATTGCTTCCACGGAATTTTTCTTTGAACGCAAAATCAGTGATATCATAGGCGAAAGTTGTTAGTTCTTTATAAATTCTCCTGTATAAGAGCTCATCTTTTCGAGCCATTTTGTAACTTACAATGAAAACACTACAATTGTAATACTAATCTGACACAGCCCTAATCTCATGTCAAAAATTATAGACAGTTTATCATTATATCGATTAAAACAAACTACCCTTGTTCCACAACATAAAAAGTTAAGTTAAAGTAAGTTAAGGACAATTGTAACAAAATGCCTGTCATATGTCGACTTGGTAAAATAGGGCCCTGGTGTGGTAGTCATTTGCCTACCTAAAAATATCAATCACGAACATGGGGTAATGTTTCGGCTTTTTATGATGATACTAGCACTGTACACTTAAATAAAAAGAATCTTTATTATTACCTAATCATTATGACCAATATAGATAACGGCCCTTGTTATTTATTGCATCAGGTATGTGTGTTTGTTTTACTGTCATTGTTGTGTATGATTCCTAAAACCCAATTTGTTGCAGTTCGTGACAGGATCCGTCGTGACGAGGAGCTCAACAAGAGCATAAAGGATTCCGAGCAGAATGTCTCCAGTGGCGGCAGTTACTACGAAGCCTGTGGTGATGATGGTATGAAGAACTTTTGTATATTATCATCAGCCTATTAAGATCCTCACTGTTGACCCTGAATCAATAGGATTACCTTATAGCCAAAACATGGAGAAGGGCCCTGCTAGGGGGAATAGCCCATTAGAAGAATCAGAAGCAGAAAGGTGGGTGCTAATGACTGGAGATGGAGTCAGGGCTAACTAATCACCCGAAATAAGTTGGGCTTTCGGCTATTGCAATAGTTGTTTAATTTCCATTAATCATTACGCCATCAAACTCCTTTTAGCATATATACTTGTTAGGAACAAGTTTTATTTTGTTTTATTTATAATAATAATAAGTATTTATTTGCTCCAAAAAATACATAATTACAAATACAAAACTTAAAATCTAACATATCAACTTTTTGGGAACAAAAAGGGAATGTGACTCAGCCTTAAACCGCCGTTTTATCGGAAGTCGCTGATATTCTGCCACAACCTTATTTAACTAAAACATGCTCCATTTTGTGATACCAACAAGTAAAACTTTGAAAATCGATTATTCTTCTGTAAATGCTGAAAAATTTCTAATAAAGTTAAATTTAAAAAATTTGGCGACTAAGCCGTTTGGATAAGATGGTTGGCCAAAAAAAAGTCTCGGCGACGGGTTCTGGCCCATTCATTTTATAATAGACCTGGCCCCCGTCATTAATATACATGTTGTGCAATCTAAAGGATTTGCCACACTGGATGCGTTCTGCGGTCTGCGGTCAGGTTAAAGTGAACGCTGCCCGCATTATGTATGAACAATATTGTCGGTCAGGGCAATCCGTCAGCGGTCCGGGCAGGGAAAACTGTCAGCGATGCGGGCATGGCAACCTGTCAGCGATGCGGGCATGGCAAACAGCGGCATTAGTCTGCGTGAATCAGTGGTGATCAGAGCCTGTAGAAAAGTTGTATTCGGTAAGATATCTAACTTCGTCATCGTATAAAAAATGTATGGGATTGACTTTCCGTTCCGTTTTCCGTTTTCCCTCGAAGACGGCGTTGTCGAACGGAAACGTCAATCCCATACATTTTACCGAATTACCGAATACAACTTGGCTACGAGCTCAGTTCTTTTGTGTTTTAATTGAGGACAATGATCACCGAGGAAGAAGAAAGTATTGTGCTAATATGGTTGCATAGTCGTAGCAAAAAAATAAAACGTGCGTGGGTACACGATTTGAACGTAATGCGTCCACAACGTGGAGAATTCAGCAACTTATGTCGAGAATTATATTCCTATAAAGATCGGTTTTATATATATTTTCGGATATCCCCAGCGTTTTTTGAAGAACTACATGCTTTAATCTGTCATAAAATAAAAAAACAGGATACAAACTGGCGAAAAGCAATTTCTAACAAAGAAAGACTTGCAATGTGTCATAGGTAAAGTATTTATTAATTATTGTATTTTTAATGATGTAATTAAATTATTTTTATTTTTATTTTGTCGAGTCCCGCCCGACACCGAGATGAATTATTTTTTTTCTAGTAAAAATAAAAATTATTTATTTATTAATTATATTTATTTTACTTAAATTTCAAATATTGGCCAATAATATCATCACTATCTGAAGCTGAATGTATCCCTGCATTGATTCTTCAACTGGAGGTGTTCTTAAATTATCATTTCTAGTTGGAGACGTCTCTGCATTAATTTCTTCCGCAGGAGGTGTTCCTAAATTGACATTTCTCGCTGGAGATGTCTCTGCATTGATTTCTTCGGCAGGAGGTGTTCCTAAATTGACATTTCTCGCTGGAGATGTGTCTGCATTGAATTCTTCGGCAGGAGGTGTTCCTAAATTGACATTTCTCGGTGGAGATGTCTCTGCATTCATTTCTTCGGCAGGAGGTGTTCCTAAATTGACATTTCTAGCTGGAGATGCCTCTGTTCTCATTCATCATGCATCTTTTCTTCTCTTCTCATTATATTAGCATCATGAACAAGTGGTAAATCAATTAAAGTATCCAACATTGTATCCCCTAAAATTAGTTCTTGATTCTCAGCTTCTGCAAATATCTGTGCCATCTTTAATTTTAAGGAGATTTGAGTTCTTTTTGACATATTTTTAAAAGTGTCAGCATAATTTAAAAACAGCTGATCAATTTGGTATATAGCTGTCTCTTGTCTTCTTTTTTCAAAATACTCAATCATTAAATGTACGTCATCATTTTGTTTCTTTCTTTTACCTGACGATGATTCGGAAAAGGACGTTCCTGGACGAGACGTATCTATAGATTCATAGTCTCCTGTTAAGGACGATACTGGACGATACATATCTATAGATTCATTGTCGCCTGTTATGTCTGAATGCTGACTCGATAAACTGTCATCTGGTTGACGGCGTCTATTCAAGTCATCCAAAAATTGCATGTAGTCTGACCAAGGCCATTTTTTATATTTTTTGTAAGCCTGTCCTGTTATTGTTGTAATACTTTTTTTGTATTTACTATACGAGTCTTTTAAATTTCTCCATTTCCCTTTTGCTTCATTACCTGCAACAAAAATAGATTCCATCTGTCAATACATCGTATAATGCTAAATTCTGTTTACTTGATTTTTTTTAGATATTTGGGCACTGGCGACTCGTTTCAAATGATAGCGTTATCTCACCGTGTTGGCCGATCAACTTTGAATAACATAATAAAAGAAGTCTGCTAAGCCATTTGGGAAACATTACAATCTGTTTATATTCCCACACCTACTCAAAGAACATGGATTATGGCAGAAATTGATAATCGCCAAAAGTGGAAATTTCCGAATTGTATAGGAAGTATTGATGGTAAACACGTTACCATGAAGTGCCCTCGAAAAAGCGGTTCATTGTTTTACAGCTATAAATCAAAGTTTTCTATTGTGCTTTTTGCAGTTGTTGACGCTAATTATAAATTTATTTACATAAACGTGGGAAGCTATGGAAAAATTAGCGACAGCAAAATATTCCAAGATTCTGTATTTTATCAAAGACTTCTAAACAATGAACTAGGTATTCCACCTCCAAAACCTTTGTCTGGTTGCTCAACTGATTTACCTCATGTTTTTATTGGTGACGAGGGCTTTGCACTACAAAAATATTTGATGCGACCGTTTCCTAAGAGACAGGCAGAGAATAACAGCGAGAAAGCAAATTTTAACAAACGACTATCTTCTGCTAGACGAGTTGTCGAAAACGCCTTTGGCATATTAGCACAAAAGTGGCGAATATTCTGTCGACCTATTGAAACAAAGGTTGACACAGCAGTTGATATTGTCAAAGCAGCGTGTTGCTTACATAATTATTTACAAATTAAAAATGAATTGCTTGAAATGCAGACACCTGAACAGACACCTGAAGAAACAATGCCACGGAACAGTGCATTTCGACCAATCAATAATAATATTTACCGTGCTCACAACGAAGCTTACAACGCAATAGTTTTATGAATTATTTCAATAACCAACCTAATTGATACAATTTACATTATTATAACAAAAACTTGAAGTTTCAATTTAGTTTATAACAGGAAACAACTACGAATAAGAATGTATAGATTTCTTACTTCATTCAGTAACTAGCGATACTCGCATCGATAGTATTTACTTTTGACCATAGTATATTGTACTATGGTCAACGACGAACGAATCACAATCTCGAATAAAATGTACTATCGTTTTTACTATTGTGTAAAAACGATAGTGTAACAACAAACTAAGCACATTTCATCGGGTATTATCATTGCATTTATTATTATATAACATACTAGTATTCCATTCCATATGAAAGATGGTGAGTAGTACATACTCACCATCTTTTATATGGAAATCCGTCGCAATTTCTCGCCACGTGTTCATTTTCTTTTCATTATCTTTATAAAAGGAATCTTTCAAGTCGTACAAATATGGATGACGTCGTACGGCGTCTATAAACTCCTCTGTTCGATCGTTTGACATTATTTACGAAATATCGTGCATTCCGTTTGGTTACGAGCGTCAAACTGGCCGTGTCGTGACCGTTGCCCTGCCCGCCGCCCGCCTGCCCATGCCCTCTGACCGCCGCCCGCTGCCCGCTGCCCGCTGCCCGCCTACCTGCCCGTACGTGTCCCTGCCTTCCCCCGCGTTCTTTGATCATCTTTGTCGCACGGTCGGATCGCATATCTATACAAAATATATAGATGTTCATACATAATGCGGGCAGCGTTCACTTTGACCTGATAGTCCAGTCGGAATAGCCATAATTTGGACCGACTTCTATTCTAAGACACCAGCGCTTAGCCAATTTTTTCCTAGTAGTAGTAGGTCCCACGAATATGCCCTCCATTTGTCCCCGCTAGAACCCCTGTTTTGTAGCCAGGAAAATTGTTTAAACAAAGAAAAACCGGTTTTTTTGAGTTTTTTTGCTTGTAAACGGGGATTTTGAAATTTTTTTTGAATCAAAGTTGTTCATTAGCTTGCCCTCTACAAAATCAGTTATAAATACTATTATTATTATTATTCGAATATATATATATAATATATATATATATATATAATATAATACTAATATACCCTGAGAATTCCGATTATGAACTGGAAGAAAAAAGGACGAAATTAATTTAATTAGAAATATAGAATACAACGCAGTCTTGTAATCGAATTTTAGTTAATAGTTTTGTAAATAATTTCTGTACATAAATAAACTGAATTTTTTAAATTTTCAATCGTATATTCGAGTTGAGGAGAGAAAAATACATTAGTTTAAAAAAATAAATATTCTACGTCAATTTTTTAAAAAAAATTAAATCGTCCAAAAACGAACATTTTTACTAACGATTTTTTTCTACTCGATCGATTCCTCAAAATTCTTGGTGAATCGAATCACCTGAATTTTTTTCCCCGCTGTGCGCCTTCTGGGAAAGACGGGACAGGCAAGTACTTTTTTTTCGGAGATTGAGAATTGTTGCTAAAGTTTGCGACACAGGTCGATAAATTTTACATGACTCTCTTGGGAGTGGCGTTACCCACATGATAAACTACTTTAGAAATCAAAATGTTTATTATAACATGTTGAATTGTTGCAAACGTAAAACCGACATAATTGCAATTTACTGCTAAACTAACAATCTCACGTTATTTTTTCATAGAACTGATTTTGTAGAGGGCAAGCTAATGAACAACTTTGATTCAAAAAAATTTTCAAAATCCCCGTTTACAAGCAAAAAAAACTCAAAAAAAGCCGGTTTTTCTTTGTTTAAACAATTTTCCTGGCTACAAAACACGGGTTCTAGCGGGGACAAATGGAGGGCATATTCGTGGGGGTCTATACTATCTAGGAAAAAATTGGCTAAGCGCTGGTGTCTTAGAATAGGTCTCATGTTTATTCCGACTGGACTATGACCGCAGACCGCAGAACGCATTCAGTGTGGCAAATCCTTAAATCTTAATTTGGTCTCTGACAGTTCAGTATCGATAAAAAGTTATATAAGTTAGCTATTAGTTCGTAGTCGTTATGCTTTCAAGGTTGATTTCTTTAGACTAAGCAAATATTTTCGTAAACTTACAGATAATGTTTTGGTAGTACCAATTAAGACCCGAGTCAATGGTGTCTTAGAGACAGTGCAGCAAAAAGTGGTGAGCTACGAATATTACCAGACGCTGAAAGAGGAACTCAAGGACGTTAAGGAGTCTACGGAACTACTTAAACAAAAAGTACGTATATAACTAACTATTAAAACTATATAACTACTAATCTCTGCAATGTAATCTACATTAGTACTTAACATTGAATGTAAACGAAAACGAATTATGGAATATCAAAAATATCAAGAAGGAATGGCTATATACTTAATAAGTTAAATAGACTTATAAAAAAGGAATTTCTTATGTTATGTTCTTTATGTTCAACCTAAACTCCTGCAGAAGAAATTATTATTACAGAAATAACTCTTAGTACACAATATTTCTAGGTGGAACATTTAGATGACTTGCTCAAACTCAAAGAAGAAAGGATAGAGGAGCTTCAAAAGCAGCTCGAAAGAAAACAAACTAGACGTAAAGAAGCAGAAGCATACCAAAACAGTCTTGCTGTACCTTTTGAAACAATACAATCGCCTGTCGTTACTGATGTGCTGCCGCTCAGTAGAAAATCTTCAGTAAAAACTATCGAATCGAACTCGAAACTACCTAGAGAAGAATCAAAAATTCCTATACCCAGAGAAGAATCTAAAATTCCTATACCCAGGGAAGAATCTAAAATTTCTATACTTAAGGAAGAATCTAAAATTCCTGTACTTAAAACTGAATCTTCCAATCTTAAGACATTATCGAAGCCCAGTATAACGGAAGTTTTATCTTCAGATATGCTTAACAATCAAGTTACTCCTATAGACGTTGTGAAATCAGACGTTTTCCAGGATATTAAAAACTATGAAGATAAACCACTTGATGAGGATAAACAAAATGTTGAACCGAAAGGTGTGGAATCTCAAGAGGGCCAACAAATTAATAATGTGGAAAATGAAGAAAGGAGCCCCCCTGATTCTTTAGAGGTTGAAGAATTCAAGGATAGTTCTGACAATATAACGACTATAGAAGCATCAATAAAGAATGAAATCAAAGACATAATTGCTCCTAGTTATAATTCTACAGATCTTAATTATGTAATGTAGTGAATTTAATTATTTATATATTTAAAGAAGTGTCGCGTCGAAGTCTAAACATGTTTTGAAGTGTAATTTACCAAATTTTCTAGTAATCATTGTTTGTTTAGGAATAAAAGTCATCGTGTTTTGCACTTTTTTTATTAGGTTTTAGTATACTTGTGATTTAGAAATAAAGTTGTATGGTACATGTTTGGGTTTGATTTTCAGCATTGAGTGTTGGCCTGGAACAGTTCACATAAACTCGGGTGCTTCTTCAGAATTCTTTTAATTCCGGAAAGTCTTCTCTTAGCAAAGTTCTCTTTGGAATCTTCCTTTCTGAAAGTAAAATATTCTTTTTTATTTGATTAGTACGTATAAAAATGCAAACACCACGTCTTCAGAATTGTTTTACAAATTGTTGAAATGCTTTATAAATTATTTATATTCGGGGCACATCTATCGGCCCACCAAACACTATAAAGTTTAAACTGTCCCTAGCTAAAAAAAATTTACATTGATCAAAAAGTTTTTGCGTAGTTTTCAACGTGATAAGAACCATTTTATTTGTGTGTTTTTAAAAATATACACTTCTGGACACATCTATTGGCCCAACTTAGAGTTTAGGTTTCGATGGCCCCTACCGAAATATGATTGCTAGATTGAACAAAAACTGTTGATGCAGTTTTAAACCTGATACATTTTACCATCTTTTTCGATCGTATTGTTTTAAATTTGAATTCAGAATACCATACGACATGGAGCTACGCCTAACAAGTCGGATATGCGCCTTGTTAAAGGCAATTGATTTTTGAATAAAAAACATGTTTTATCAAATAAAGGTTTAATTTAATAACGCGTGTTGCCTCCATGAGCATCTACCACAGCTCTCATACGATTAGGCATAGAGTTTATCAACCGCTCTATGAAATTTTGAGGGATCATCTCCCATTCCTCTTCTATGGCAGTTTTCAACTCCTGCATCGTCTGGGCAACTGGCTGACGAGCCCTAACACGTCTTTTTAGCTCGTCCCACATGTACTCAATGGGGTTCATGTCTGGGCATCTGGCTGGCCAGTCCATAACTGTGATGTTCACATCCCGAAGATATTCCCTGACGATGCCGGCCGCATGGGCTCTTGCATTATTATGCATAAAAAGGAAATTTGGGCCCACATAGTCCGCGTATGGTATCACGTGAGGGTGCTTAGCACGAATGTACCTTTCAGCATTTAATGTTGGCAGCCGTGGTCCTGTAACAACCTCAAGTTGAGTTTTGCCGTTCGCGGATATACCGCCCCAGACAGTCCATGAGCCACCGCCTTATGCAACCCTCTCTTCAAAGCAGCGTTGTGCGAAACGCTCTCCCTTACGTCGGTAGACCTTCTGCCTTCCATCATTGCCATGTAACACAATTTTAGACTCATCAGAAAAGTACACGGCTCCAATCTTGCTGTGTCCAATTTAAATGACTGCGTGCGAAATGAAGGCGCGCTGTTCGGTGGGCTCGCGTTAGTTTGGGCCCATTAGCTGGCTTGTGTGGTACCATACCGCGTTCTTTTAACCTTCTCCGAACAGTTCGAGCGCTCACAGATACTCCGTGGAAGTCGCGTATTTGTTTTTGTATCTCAATGGAGGTAAGGTGACGATTTCTCAAGCTGGTCGTCACGATGAATCGATCCTGCCTTTCAGTTGTGACCCGAGATCGTGGCCTTCCTTGGCGACGAACAAAGCCGCCAGTCTCTACGTACCTCCGATAAACATTTCGGACCGCAGATCGACTTAAATTAAGTTGAACACTCACGTTTCTTTGGCTGTGTCCGGCCTGAATAAGTGCCACAGCTTGGGCGGCGACTTCAGGTGAAGTATCCATAGATTATTGATAGAACCTCACCTTAATGTTAAGAATAAGTAATGTTTGTTGCAAAACCAAAGATATCAATCACTTTTTCAAGAATTAAATCCAAGTAAACCAATAAAACCAAGTTTTCTTAGTATTCGATTGTTTGATATCAACAAACAGGCTCCAAATTGTCTTTTGTTTCTTTAAATTCTGTGTTTGACATTCAAAAAAAGACTATTGAATGAAATTGTGAATGTGCCAGGTTCAAAACTGCATAAAAACTATTTGCACGACCTAATATAAATCGCGTCGCTTTGCATCGGGGTAGAGCTGTAGTGTAGAGTATAGTTTTTGTTCTCAGGCTTGTTTTATACACAATGAAATTTCTTATATAATTATAAACCTTCTATGAAAATTTATTTAACAGTATTTTGCTATGTAATTTATCGACTCGTTGTACCGAATGTACCATTTTTTAATTGGAGGAAGGTTTAAGACTATATAATATTACGCTGCGATCAATAGCAGCGGAGTATCGATGTAAAATGTTGCAAAAATGGGTAAAAATATTTCATTTGGGAGATTCTGTTGCATGCATTCGGCGGTGTCGTGTGAGGCGGGTCGTTACGTTCCCTAAAATATGGTTGAGCGAAGCGATAGCTGGTTCATGCGTCATGCTCGTGAACGGGTGCTGCCAGCGGAGATGAGTCTGCCCTAACTTCCTTAATATTGAAGTTAATGTTAATGTTTAGTCACGCTTAATATAAATAACACTATTTGTATTTATACTGTATGACACAGCAATCAAATTGCAGGTAAATAATTAATGTATATTTAATAATTATGTAATGAAAGGTGACTTCATGAATCAACTCTGAAGTCATTTTTCAGTATGACGACTCTGTAAATAATAAAACAGGGAGAAAAAACAGCCCTTGCTGAGTTTCTTGCCGGTTCTTCTCAGTACAAGGTCTCCCGCCGTAGATTTACGAACCGATGACGTAGCTTCTAGACATTCATGAGTGCTTGTAACAGCCTAAACTGAATAAATGATTTTGATTATGATTATGCGCTGCGTAAATGATTAAAGTTACATAAAAATCATCTATAACGGAATTGTTCCCCTTTAAAAGTTCTATAAAAAAAAGTCCACGACAATATATGTCCATCTTTAAAGATTGACTCACTATAATAACTTTCTTCCTCAAATTAACGCGGGTGAAACCACAGTGGATCTTTAGTTGTGACATAACTGTAATAATTAGACATAATATTGTGGACATTTTTGTAGATATTTATGTCCTCTATAAAACTTTAGTACATCACTTTACTCTATTGTCAATGACTTCCGCAGCGTAAGCGATATAAGATTATTTTTTGTTTTTTTTCCCACTCTAGGTTACATTATTGCATTGAACATATGGAACCCTAACTTTTTTGAAAATACTCTATAGCCTATGTTCATCGAAGATAATGTAGGATTCGAAATGTGTAAGAATTATTCAAATCGGTCCAGTAGTTTCGTAGCCTATTCAATACAAACAAACAATCAAATCTTTCCTCTTTATAATATTAGTTTAGATTGCTCAACCTATCATATATTTTGGCTTCAGAACGTTGACTCTTGACAGAACAGAACGTGGGCCGGTAGATGTGGCCGGGAGTGTATTATCTTAATCATCTTCAGTATTGTATGAGTGTTCATTTCGACGTAGTTAGACATAAGAAGAATTGTCTATTAATCATTTAACGGATCTCTATGTCCGTGATCAAGTTTAACACCGCATCAAGGATACATACTCTGTTAATGTTTGATAGAACAAAACAAAATATTAACAGTCTTTTAAAGGACTTGACAAGCCGCTAAATGAATATAAATATAACAGAGCTTTGTGAAATTAAGTATTAATTAGTATTTGTTTAATAACGTCTCCGCATTTCAAGATCTAGTACTACCTAGAGTACCAGATTTTGAAACTCTGATACATGGATATACAAATGCTTATAATGATTATAGCTGCGCGTCTCATTCCGCGACGAATTACTAAATCGGGGTCAAAAGGGGCAAGGTTAGTAATATTTAACTGTACCTACTGTTTCGAATCCACGTTTTACAGATAGATTCAATATCACTTCCGAAAAAAACTTACAGATTTTCACTGCTCTTTTCTCCGATGACTTTGAATCTGTCAAATTCTATGTCCCTATCATAGAAGCAGTCTTTTCGTATCTCGTCCAAGGTTTGTTTGACCGGAATGAGATCAGCAACTGAAAGAAAAAGAAGACTTGTGAAACTTAGGGTAATGATATCTTATTAATGTATTTTTTTACGAGAAAAAATTCAACTATACCCAGATTATTGATTTTATTTGAGCCATTAAAACGATGGGGTGAACATTGTTACTATTTCTTTGCTCCTGACGATTTACTAAGAACTGAATGAAATAAAAAAAAACTATCATCTTTATCTGGGCACCCATACGGTCGTAGATCCTCTGCACGCTGAAAGCAGGCGTGGGCGAGTGCGCGGCGCACGTGCAGGCGGGCAGCGACTTGCACGACGTCAGCACCGCGGCACTATCATCATTATGAGTGGATACATACGGTCGTAGATTCTCTGCATGCTGTCAGCGGGCGTGGGCGAGGGTGCGGCTCAGGTGCAGGCGAGCAGCGACTCGCGCGACGTCAGCAACGCCACCGCGGCACTATCATCGTTATGTGTGGATACATTCGGTCGTAGATCCTTTGCATACTGTCAGAGGGCGTGGGCGAGGGTGCGGCGCAGGTGCAGGCGGGCAGCGACTCGCGCGACGTCTTCACCGCCACCGCGGCACTATCATTGTTATGTATGGATACATACGGTCGTAGATCCTTTGCATGCTGTCAGCGGGCGTGGGCGAGGGTGCGGCGCAGGTGCAGGCGGGCAGCGACTCGCGCGATGTCTGCACCGCCACCGCGTCGCTCTCGCCACACCACTCGCGCAACGGATCCATCTTCCGAAAAATTATAAAAATATAACCCACGATGGGTGCCCGCCGCGACTTCGTCTACGTGGAAAAATTGGTTTCTCATGCAAACTTTACCCCCCCCCCCCCCCCCCCCCCACTTTTGATTCTGTTAAACGATGATTTCTGGGATAAAAACTATCCAATATCCTTGCCCAGGACTCAATCTATCTCTATACCAAATTTCATCCTAATCGGTTAAGCGGTATAAGCATGACAGACAAACTGACAGACAGACAGACACACTTTCGCATTTATAATATTAAGTATGGATACATGTAATGAAATTGAATACTTAATCCATAGAAATGTTATAAATGCGAAAGCCTGTAGGTATGTCTGTCTGTCACTCCTTCATGCCTTAACCACTGAACCTATTTAGATGAAATTTGGTATAGTTTGAGTTCCGGGAAAGAACATCGATAATCATTTAAGTGATAGAAAGTATCCTTTAAGGGATTAAAGAGGTGGTATTTTGCCTTTATTCTATATATCCGTACTGTGACATATCTCCATTACTTGTTTCTTTTTTCCAAATATTTTGCTGGTTGGGATAAATGGAACTTTTTATTCCATATATCCCTACTGATCCGCACTGGTAGGACTAATTATTGGGTTTTTATATATAGATAGATTATATATTATTATACTCTTTATTGCATCATATAGTTAAAACATATAGTCAAATACATAGTAAGCAAAGGTGGGCTTATCTCTAAAAGAGATATAGGTGATAATTGGATTTTTATTTATCCCATTTATTATTAGTAAAAACTTACCTTTAGTCAGAATATCGCAATACGCTGATGATTTTGCTTTCTATTGTACTAATAAAGATATTAATTATTGTGTGGATATAATGGAAAAGCGCTTAGAGATTTTTTTAAGCTTTTGCAGTCAATAGGCTTGGAACTCTCCTACGCTAAAACTAAGATATGTACTCGTAAATATCGTATTCCTCCTATATGTATTAAGGTAAATAATGTTACAATAGAAATTGTAAAGTGTGTGAAGTTTCTTGGAATGTGGATAGGCAGTCGCTTCAACTGGTCCAAACACATTAGTATGGGTAACACATATGAGTTAACTAGTAAATGTGTGTCATCTATAAAGGTATTCAGATATTTAAGTAACTCTGGTATTCACCCTATGCAATTAAGACCATTGTACGGTGCTTTAATTCAAAGTAGGATAGACTATGGAAGCTTCTTATGTGGCAGCACGAGTGCAGGTTTTCTCAAAAAGCTAGATCTCATTCAAAATCAAGGATTACGAATCTGTGGTGGTTTTATAAGAACTACTCCGATACATGTGATGCAGGCTGAATGGAGTATAGTACCATTAGGATTAAGAAGGCAATATTTATGTAATAAGTATATGTTAAAGGTTTGGTCCAGGTTGGATGATTATCTTATCAAACGAGTTTCTGTTCTTTCCGAATTGTTATCGCTTCAAGTATACTGGCGCAGAAATTGTGAATCGTTAATGGTAAAGGTGTATGAGGATGTTAGGAAGCTTTGTGTACATCAATGCAAGTCTTCACCCTTATATCAACTGCCTTTTCTTGTAACTGAATTACCACTTGAAGACATTATCACCATTAGTATAAAACCCATAACTACTACCAAAAACCTTACCGGTCGAAATGTGTACAATAAAGCTGTTGAATTGATGTTACGTAATAAATATCCAGGTTTTAAGCAAATTTATACAGACGCATCTAAGAGCAATTTTAATTCAGGGTATTCTTTTTATGACCACAGTACAACGTTTAGTGCTAAATTTAAAGTTGAGAATAAATCTATTCCCATTATGGGTTTGGAACTGCTTGCAATGATGGAAGCACTAAGTTATGTTGAGTCCTGCGGCTATAAAGAAATGGTCCTACTTACTGATTCTGCATCCTCGTTGTACCATTTGTTAAGGGTTGGTAAGGGTTGTTTTGGTAGATTAGAGGCTTTCACCATTATTAAATGTATTTGGAAATTAATACGTAACGGTGATCAAGTCAGGATACAATGGATCCCTTCGCATGTAGGAATTGGCGGAAATGAAGTGGCTGACTCAAATGCTAAACAAGCTTCGTCTGACGGTGTAGAACTGGACGTACCTTCCCATCATTCAGACTATTTAGGACAAATTTGAGAACGTATATACGATTTGTGGAAAACGTCATTTGACCAAATTTCTAGAGAAAAGGGGATCTGGTACAAAACGCTGGTGTGTGAGCCACCTCATGTCCCGTGGTTCCACAAAAGTAATTTTAATCGTAAGTTGCTTGTTTTTTGCTTGAGAGTTCGTTCTGGGCATGTTCCACTGAATGCATTTAAATTTTTAATGGGCAAAAGAAATAATCCCTATTGTGACAGTTGTCAAAATACTAAAGAAGATTTGATGCACATACTGATGGAGTGTTCGCAGAACGAAACACACAGAATTGATCTCATTAATAATACTAAATGTAGTAGACAAGATTTATTTTTTAAATTTCATCAATGTTTTAGTTCTAACTTTAGTTGTAGTAACAGCAACAGAATTCTTAAGTTTCTTTCATTGTCCTTATCGATTTGTGATATAAATTAAAGTTATAGCTATGTAGCCGACTTAACCTCTAAGGTGTATGGCTTAATAAAGAATAAAAAAAAAATCCCATTTATCCCTACCAGTGCGGTATGTAGGGTTATATGGAATAGAAAGTTCCATTTATCCCAATCGGTAGCGACAAATGGAAAAAAGTTCCAAATATCACTACTAGTGGAGATATATTAGTAGGGATATATGGAACAGGGGGTAATTTGTATGGGAAATTTATCCTTGCAGATGTAGCGGGCACAGCTAGTACCTAATAATATAAAAATGAATCCCTATTTCCTTTGGGCGCGCCATAACTTGAGAAAGACTTTCATGGGAAGCCTCTTTTTTTCAAGTTTGCTATAACATATTTCGCACAAGGAGAAAAGAAATTATCGATGTTGCTCAAAAATATGATCTGATTTACCTCCATCACTGAAAATGTCGACTGTGCCTTCTGTTTCTTCTTCTTCTCATCTACCCTTTGCATTAGGATCTCCAATTGTTCTGGAAATGTACATGAATGCTTGCGACATTGGGGTGGACCTGTTGGCTCATCTTAATAAGATAATGCCTTGCCGCCATGCCATTTCCTAGCAACCCGCTAGGGCAATTCAGTGATTCTCAACGTCTTTGTACAAGTTTCTGCGACACGTGCCGGCGGCACAGACGCGCGGCAGTAGCATTGTGTGTAGGAGCCATAAGGCTTTGCCTACCTTATTAAGGTGATTTTTGTTATTAGTCATGGCACTGTTGCAAGTGCTATATTATGGAGTAACTGTATTTCCTCTAATAAGAAAAATAAATTACTATAAATGTTAGTAACCTTAAGTAATAATTGGAACACAACATCACAGATTTAGATTTCTCAGACAAATAAAATACGTATATTACAAAATTAATAATCACAGTAATTATGCGTATGGGATGAAAACTGGTACTTACATAGTAAGTCCATGTAATAACATCTAATAGTGAGAAATTCAGCTGTACACTATTATATGGCCCTTTGTTGCCCTTGTTACTACCAATCTTACTACGAGTAGTAAATACCGTTTATTATTATTACCCTTCTCACTATTATAGTCACCCTTCGTATCAAGGTATCATTAAATGTATCTCTATCCGTTACCCTAGTATCTCCTAAAACCTTAGAGCTCCTCCAAGAAAACTTAATCTTTCGAGATTGTTGGAGGTACGCATTCCTCTAATTGGGAAACACTGCGTCTATTATGCCCCTAACACAAGCCTTTTAGGCCCGTATTATAGAATGACAGCTAAGTGTTGATCTTTACTTGAGTAGTTAGAAAGGGATGTCGCTATGTGCTTTAGATAGCGACATCCCTTTCTAACTGTGTTCAAGACTAGATCAATCACTGAGAACCTATCTATAATACGGACAATAGTGCTTACTGTAGGGCTAGGCTAATTTATGTCATCTGAGTGTTAGAAAAATGTATTATTTTATATGGTCGATTTTCCTTTACCGCTGTGTCATACATACCCGGTGTGCAAGTTTCGTAGTCGTCGTAGGTTTGCTCGAAGTGTATGAAAGGGCTGGCTCTCATATAGGGCGGAAGGGACCTCATGAAGGAATCCACTCGCATGCGACGGCATTTGTCCATTGGACACACCTGCAAGTCATAATTATGATCTAAAGAAAATTCAACTAGAAAAATATCCACTTGGTCAAGCTGGGTTTGAACCCGCGCATCATCATAACAAATTCTGCAGTGCTATTCTGTAAGGAAAAACTCACTTTTCACAGCGGAATTCAACGGTGTGATTTGAAATTTACTTGAAATTCCTGTTCTAATAAAAAAGTGAGCTGTCAATAATTTCACAACATCGTGATATTATCGATAGTGTAATATGTCGTATCACAGTATCACCAGTACAAATTGTGATACTACGATCCAAGTATCACGATAATATTGATCAGTGTAAGAATAGCATAAAAGAGGGAGAGGACAGCGGTTGCATCGTTGGAATCGGAATGCCTGTCTGGCGAATTAATTACCACTCTACAGAAGATACAATAATAATGCCGTACTCGTATCTCATACTCGTACATGAACAAAATAATGGTGTTATAAAGTAGATATACACGTAGTATATTTATAAAAAAATAAAAATTGTGTACACGGATCACACGTCAGAATAAAACTTCTTTTCTTAAATAACCAAACATAAGCGGTGCATACGGCATAGGGGAATGGAGCAGCGCATGCATCACTCGCATATGTGTACATATTGTCGAGTGTGACGCTCGTAGCATTTCAGCTTTCGCCCAGTTACCCTCCAACTTTCATGCTCGTCGGGAAGAGCTGCGTACGCATCCCACTCACAGACCCACACAAATATAGTCGTGTGACGTTCGTGACGCATTTCTGTTTCATCTTTTCCATAGGATTTTTCGATTTACACCCCGGTCCGAAAAGAGATTTCATTTCAAAAGTAAAATAACCTTTTCATAATTTATTTTAGAATCTTTGTCAGCCCCTCGGTTGATGATCTCAAGGCTGTCGTGGATACTTCTGAAAAAGTGAACAGTGATCAAAGAGTGCCGCGCGCATCGGTCGCGAGCGAGTTGAACCTGCGTTTGTCGAATAATTGATTAGATGCAAAGAATTTATTTCTCATAAAAACATACAGTTTTCTTATAATGTGATTTACAATTTTCACATTCTAATATTAATTTGTGACTGCTTCTGCAGTATCGGTTTAGTATACAAACATTTACATTATTGTGACCTATTGTATGTGATACCTTATGTATGTATCTTATGATGATTTATCATCATCAGCTTGTTAACTGCTCGAGGACAGGCCTTCTCTATGGCTGAAATAGGAAGGATTGGACCATGATAGACCGCGCGCGGGCCCAGTGCAGATTGGTGGATGCTAACGACTGCAGATGCTGGGACAACGGCTTTACGTGCCTTCCGAAGCACGGAGGAGCTTGAGGATAATTAGTTTTGGTCACCCATTCAATGAGCGACCATTGCGAAAGTTCACGATCGCAGGCCGGATGCGCTAACCACCTGCACCACCGAGCTCCTCAATAATTGATTGAAATAGTTTAGGACTTAATAATTTTAATATCCATTCATAATCCGTGGCTAGTTAATAATAATAATCGTATAGTATTAAATAGAACAACAACTAAAAACAACACGAAAGGGTATTTTTAGTTACAGTTAACTGTAAAAAAATAAGTGATTCGCCCGTGCTACGTAACGGACTTTTCGGTGTAGAATATAGAAAGTTAAAGGGCATTTAATGTCCTCATATAATGAAACTTCCATGAAAAAACAAACTAAATATTGATAGTGAAAACCGCATGATAATCCGTGACGAAGTTTAGGAGAAGTTTGCGAATGTACAAATTGAGGCGTACAGCGATTTTACTTTAAAAACTTAGACCCTAACTTTCAAGATTTGTTATCCCGTATTGTAGAATTAGATGAATAAATGTGTCGTATCTATCCCTTTTTAGGGTTCCGTACCTTAAAAGGAAAAAACGGAACCCTTATAGGATCACTTTGTCATCCGTCCGTCCGTTTGTCAAGACCATTTTTCTTTTCTTCATACCTAATACTCAGGTTTACTGTCCCTTGGAGCTGTGAAAAAATCAAACTTCTAAGCCAAAGCAATCAAAAGGGAAGAAGACAGCCGTTATGCCGCAAATTTCCGCAATTTTTTTGAAACACGCACGGGAATCAAAACCTACAGGGTGCTACCCGTGAACTTGAAATTTGGTACGAAATAACGTCATTAAGTACAGATAAAGGGAAAATTGCGAAAACCGTAAATTTTAAGTTAAGTCTTAAAATTTACGGTACTTACGTCTTAATTTTTTTTTTTAATTATTAAAATATACCTACAGGTTTGTACGGAACCCTCGGTGCACGAGTCCGACTCGCACTTGGCCGGTTTTTTTATAAAAGGCACCATACTCACCCAGTTAGAGATATGGGCACGTCCTCTTCCTCATCTCGTACTTTAGTCTGTCTGCAAGTAAAAATGTTTTAAAAACAAAGTGGGTGTCGATAAATTCTGCTAAGTTAAAGTAATGATCGTGAATCAATAGTGTTTCTGCAGTTTTTTATTTTATGACAGTAAATAGTGACTGATAAGTAATATTACTGATTTAATTTATTAATAATATATTTCTTAGCAAGCATTACTGTTGACTGCTGGCTGGCTCTTCATCTAACAATGTCTCTCCGTATATCTCTTCATCGTTCAACTGCTCAAGTTGGTTTAATAGCGAGTCCTGAAATCAAGCACAGTCATCTACATTCTAATCTTGACGACCTCAGTAGTCGAGTGGTTTATACACCGGGTTTCATGGTGTCGCCGACTCGAGAGGTCCCGGATTTGAATTCCGGTGGGAGCAGATGTTTGTGTGATGAGCATTTGTACTCCAGTCATGGATGTTTTAATATGTATTTCTATATAAATATACTTACACATATGTGAGCTCGATGGCGCAGGTGGCTACCGCGTTCGACTGCGATTGTTGAAGTTAAGCAACTTTCGCAGCGGTCGGTCATTGGATGGGTGACCAAAAATTTACTATCTCGAGCTCCTCCGTGCTTCGGAAGGCACGTTAAGCCGTTGGTCCCGGCTGCATTTGCAGTCGTTAGCACCCACCAATCCGCACTGGGCCCGCGTGGTGGGTCATGGCCCAATCTCCCTATTCCATCCATAGGGAAGGCCTGTACCCCAGCAGTGGGGACATTAATAGGCTGATGATGATGATGATGACACATATGTACAGTATATGTATTCCATCCGTTACCCTAGTATCCCATAACACCTTACAGTGCTTACTTTGGGGCTAGGCTAATTGGTGTGAGTGTTGGAAATATTTATTTATTTTAATCTTGTCGCTCAATCGATAACTTCTCAAATCGCGACTTTACTCACATTTAACATCAGCATTTACGTAGCCTTGTATACCTCCCAAAATATTTGCCATAAAACTTATTTATTTAAACATTACTAACCTTGTGTTTACCGATGTTAAGCACGACTTTGCCGCTAGACTGCTTATGTTTCTCGCGCTGTACAATAAATGTTATCTCTTATTTATGCCAATAATATTATAAATGAGGAAGTAAGCCTGTCCATCCGTCTGTCTGTTGTGTTTGTACGCTCGAACGCTGAACCGCTTTATTTGACCTACGCTTCAGCGAATGACATCATACTTGGGATGAAATGGGGTGCAAGTGTTTATGGGAAACCAACTATTTCACATAGACAAAATCATGGGCAGCCGGTAGCAGTAATATAATAAATTAATATTGCATATTTTTTTTTTGTTTTCTCTGATTGCAAAAAAGCGATTAGCGTAACACACAGTCAGTTATTTCGGTAGTGTCAAATAGTGTCAATCAATACACATTTTTAATTATTTTCTTATGCCCTACCTTCTAGAATAAGTACGACTCGTACAATGAAATGAAATTATTCATATTTGCCGTAAATAAGGGAGATTGGTTACTTCAGATAGGTTGATCAGCCAAAACAGCATTACTCACCTAGGTCAATTTCACCATTTCTAATCGCATGCAAATTATAATAAATACTATAAACAAGATAATTTTAATTAGTTATAATTTTTATTATTTTTAAAGCATGTAGCTGCTTGATGTTTAAATCTAAAGAAAATATAACTAGAAAAAATAATAATTTTAATTATTTAAATTGTATAACTTGTATAATAAAAACTTCGTAGAAACTGAGTAACTGTCTTTTCCCTACGTTCTAGCCGATTATATTTTAAAATTGTAGCTTCATGGAATATAATTCATAATAGAATTTTGAAACTTATTGCCTCTTTAAAAAGACAAAATTGTGTACAAAGCTATCGGTTTCAATCTTTCAATGCTTTCTAAGAGACAATAAGAGGCTTAGCTTCCATTGTTCTGTTGTAAAATTCTGACGTGCTATTTTTTTTCAAAGTAATAATAAATTCGTAATACGTAATATAACGATATTGCGGAGGCTCTGATCACTTTTTTTTAAAGAAAACGAAGCAAACGTTTCGTATTCATAATTTGGAACACTCAGTAGAAACAAAGTAAAAACAACCAACACACAATACGCTACAAAACAACTGACGGTTGTGACGGAATAATCGTTAACATTTTTTTTTCGCCTAACCCCCAACCGCGAAGTCCGTACTGCCCGACCGCATAATAAAAATGTATTATTTTTATTCCAAAAGTAAATCTTTGCTACTACATTAACTTTATGGAGAATAACAAATACTTTCATTGACACATTGATTGCCACCTTATAAAAGACCACAGTGAAATTTCACTATAGGTAGAGAAGGTCTTCTGTTGTGGGTGGGTGGTAATGTGGAATAGAATTAGAATACATTACCACTTTAGTAGCGGATGCGATCTCTATGGAATCCCTGGCTGCCAGTAATGTAGCGCGAGTAGCCGACGGAGGCACACTTGACGTTCTGGAAATAAATTATTATGGTAGTGTGTCAGCCAAGTTCGGTCACGGTGGTGAAACAACAGAACATATACTCCATGTATATTAACAAACATATCATCATCAGCCTATTAATGTCCCCACTGCTAGGGCCCAGGCCTTCCCTATGGATGGAATAGGGAGATTGGGCTATGACCCACCACGCGGGCCCAGTGCGGATTTGCGGGTGCTAACGACTGCAGATGCAGCGGGGACCAACGGCTTAACGGGCCTTCCGAAGCACGGAGGAACTCGAGATAGAAGATTTTTGGTCACCCATCCAATGACCGACCACTCCGAAAATTGCTTAACTTCAACGATCTCAGCCGAACGCGCTAACCACCCGCGCCATCGAGCTCCTCAAACAAACATATATTAAATAAAAAAAGAATTAGAGCCCAACGGAACATAAAACCTTTTCCGGAGGAAACTCCACTTTTAGGAGATCACATAGGAATAAAACTTTTAGGTGTTGTCATGTTTCTGTTGGCCTGGACTCCACCAGATAGGGAATGGGTTCAAGATAGGGAACGCACGAATGATGCAAGCGCCTGTAGGCTATGGTGGTCGCTTACCAGCAGGAGGTTGCCATTGGAAGAAATGGTATAAAAAATCTCGGAATTATTTCTATCCCTCCTTTCTGCAGCAAAGAATAATAATATATATAAGTATAAAAAAATACTTCAAAGCAACTGTGAAAGTCTCTATACATGAAGGGGCTTTGTTTTCATAAACATAAATACATATTTCTTTAGACATACATTAGCCTCAATATGGAGCCCATGTCTCCTCTTATACTGTTGTTGACTGTGACACGCCGATGATGATCCAGCGACTGTAGTAACATCAAATACATAATAATATTGTGATATTGTGTATTGAACAAACATTAGTTTTATTGCACTACGCAAAATAAAAAGAAAAGGTTATACGTATAATATGACTTTGATTCTTAATAAAAAACAATGGACGTGAAGCTACGTAGAATTTACGAGTGGTGCGTTCGTATGGAGATAGATATAATTTGAAGAGTAGGTCTGAAAGTCGTAAAGTATCAGCGGCATAATCCGTTTTGTAGAAAAAAGAATAGATTTTTTTTTGAAAAATAGAGGATGAAATAGATTGTTTAAATATACCTAAGTATTGCTCAGACATTATGACACAGAAGGTTGCGATTCATGATTTCGCAAACTATTTTACCAAATTATGATTTTATTTATTTTGTAAGCATTTAACTGCTAGATGTTTAAATCTAAAGAAGAGTTCAGTGCATTCGTCCGGATAGCGAAGGATGCGGGTTCGAGTCCCGTCCGCTGCCTGGTCCGCGTGGATTTTTTTCTAGTAAACTTTTCTATTTTACCAAATTTTCGTTTGGTCAACTGCAAATTGGATAAGAATCATAGAAGTTTATATTTTTTATGGGATCTGTTATTGGCTATTATGGTTTTAGAAATCATGGTCGGTATTACTAGATACTTTTCATAGAAATTTTAGTATCGCTTTCTTAACTAATATAATATTCTTTCTTTTTTTTTGCAGTGTAAATTTTTTACGCACGCTTGACTTGGGGGATAAGCTGGCGAATGCGTAACGCGTTACGAAAAGTGTGTTGGGGCGAGGCGAACGGGAGTTTCGCGCACATTTCCTCCTCTCTTTCTCTTATAGCTAGTTAATGAAATATGTATATATTGTACAAAACAATGAGTTCTTAGAGAAAGCTGTTATTTCTTTTCAATACATTTGCTCAAAAAATGCATTTACGGAGGTTGTATACATTGGTCGAAAGTTCAAAATTAAGGGCCATACAACGAAGCGTACGGTAAAACATTTTACCGCACGCTCCCATACATGGCGCCGTGAGTATCCTTTACGTTTAATTTCGTCGAACCTCCTTGAAAGCGGTTTCATCATACCTTTGTCTGACGACGTAGCCTGTAAAGACTACGAAACGTCAATAAATAAATAAAGTTTTCGTGCATTAACCCGTAAAAACTAGTTTTATTTAATGAGTGATGTGCGTGAAAACCTAAGAAACAAATACCTTTGTCTCACTTTAACACTAAAAAAAAAAGAGTGTCTACTCGTTTGTAATAACCAACTTACCGCACTAATATTATAAATAACTATTACAGAGTTAGCAACGACCTCATGCTTCATGTTATCCCAAGTATTACAAGTAAGGAAAATGATATTAAAACATTACATTAAATGTCAAGTAGGTACACGGTTAGTGAATAAAAATTAAGTACTAGGTTATGTACATTTCAAGATTGTGTACAAAACCACTTAAACAATTTACTTCATCACGGCGCCTTGTCATTAAATTATGTACCACCCCCCGCCACTGTATTTGAAGACTCTATTTAGGAAAACAAAAAAAAATGCATGCGGAACCCAAAGTGTATTTTTTCAAAAAGTGCTAAATTCGGCTGTTTGCCTGGTGTTTTCAAAGACTAAATGGTAGCAGATGTGTCTAATTAGACATAATCATGCAATTCAACGTTGAATACGATTAGTATGCCATTGGTTTAAAGGTAGTTATGTAATAAGCTAACTTAATATTATTAACAATTAATTGGAATAAATTAAAAAAAATACATTATCAACAAGCAAAAAATGTTTTAAATCTGTACTGTAACCCAACTACGGAAAAAAGTAGAGAGAGGAATGAAATCGATTAAAATTGTGACTTACGACGACGAAGCCAAAAGGAAGGGATATCATTTTACCATTCTATGTACATACATACAGGCGAAGGATCATACACACATAAATACATACATAACTGTATGTGTAAATTTACGTATTAAAACGTAGCGCTTAACGATTTCATCTTATTTTAATTAACAAGGTGTCTATTGATTGTTTACAATTACCTGGACAACACAAGCTTTTTAACAGACTAATAAATAGGAGGACTCTTGTAATTGATCATTCCTTTCTTTTTTGATTTTTTTCCGTGGTGGGGTTCACTTTTATAAACTTTTTTTATTTTTTACACCTGTTATGGAAGCGAAGGTACAAATGTTTAGCAAATTCAACAAGTCTGAAAATTGATAATCTATGATTTAAATGACAATTTTGGGTTGAATGACATTAGCGGCTGATTACTAGAGATGGGACATTTTAATTATGATTTTTCGATAAATAATTTTTTTTTTTTTGGGTTATTTTGAAACACCGTGTATATATATGTATATATATATATACATACAAATGGAGATAAAGAAGTTTCACTTCAGTCGTGTGGTCATAAGCACATTGTTTTTTTTTACTATTTAAATAAAACAAAAATCTTGTCACCACTTTAGATGGTGGCGAGTCAGTCTGGACCCCGATACACTCCCACCGCTCGATGTGTGGCGGCAACCTGCGCGGATATTCGTCCTTAATGTACGCTGCGTTCGAACAGTCGGCCTTCACGAACATCTCATTGAAAACTGAAACCACCGTTTTATAAATAGATGTAAGCGCAAATCGGCTTATTATTGTGTTAGTTTCAGTATTAACAGCTACATTTATACATATTAAGAAAAAAAAATGATTCCGTTATCTCGGCGAATTCGTAAACCAGATTTAAAGTAAATAGTAAGCGCAACTACTACCATTTCTTTGCGAGTCCCTGATATTTCGGGTATGTTGCAAGTGCCTTGATCGCGGAGGAATTCCGTATCGGCGAATCGAAAAAAAAGATATATGGCACAATCCTACTAATTATTACTTTTAACGTAAGTGACCCTGGAATTTTAAACAAATTAAATCAGCTTAATTTTCACTTTTTCTTGATAATGGTGGCAAACAAGCATATCATACCCCGCTTAATGGTAAACAGTCACCATACTTGCCTACCTTGACCCTATCCCCTACCCTGAAGCTTCTCAGGTGTAACGCGTTCTTTTTACATAGCTTGGTTAATCGGTAATTTTTGTATAAGGAAAGGTAACCTCGACCACACGGATGGTTAGAGTACCACTTCCGTTACTGAGCAGGAGGCCTACTCTATTTCAACGAAAAACTGAATTTCGATCGAATTTTCGCACGTTTCTTACTCTGTTTACTTTTCATTTCGAAAATTCGTTCGACCGAAATTAGTTTGACAATTAAATTCTCCAAGCCTACTCTGATTCGCAAAACTTTGTCATTTAATTGTTCGAAATTTTAACCTCAAATTGACGAAATGAAAAGTGTTACCTATTCGTTTTCGTTTTTGGAACTTTTGTTTAAATTAAGCCTAAAATGACTGCTACAGTATTTTTAATCAAGGCTGCTACCATGAGGAACATTTTTTAGTTAAATTAACAAATACACCAATTTTTAATTAATTATTGTATTTCCAATACTTCAAAGTATTAAACGACAAATTTAGGTTGACATAATATAATGAAGTGCATCAACTCTACAAATTAGTCGGCTAACACTGTCAAAGAAGGTTCTTAAGTCATCAAAAATTTTGTAGTACTTATAGTGTTTTCAAGTAAAGCAGGTAATCTAAAAAGTGGAGATAAAAGAACTCACAAACATGACTCATTCCATTCGTTCACGAAAATTGTCTGTGATTCCGAACTTTATGTGCGTGTTCGAAAATGATATAAAGTTATTGGCGAAAATTCGTTCGTTACCGAAATTTCGTTTCGGAGAAAAAGAGTAGAGCTCCAGGGATCCGGGCTCCAAGGGGTAGAGGATGGGGCCCACCCCCATCAAGTCAGTAAATCAATAGCGAGAAGTTTAGGTACCTAATTATATTGTTGAATTATTGGCTGGAGCTGATCTTTGGTCTACTTTCTTTGGTTGATCTTTGGTTTATTTATTTTGTGCTACCAAGTTGTGTTTCGTTCCAAGCTCACCATACTCCTTCCATTGTTTAGGAGCTGTTTTAGCCGCCTTCACTTCGCTCAGCACGTGGCGTCTCTGCTGTGGCTCGAACTCCGCCATGTCTCCGAACATTACGAACGGCCGGCACTCGGCGTCCAGCAGGTCGAACCAACCATTATTATTCTCGTGGTCTATTGATAAAGTTAATACAAAACATTGTTATCATCAGTGTATCATTTTCCCTTTTGCGGCATTTTAAATAAATAGCCCTGTAAATTACCTCATGGCAAGCTTTTATTTTACCCATATTTTACCACTTTGTCGGCGTAACTATTATGTGTAAAGTACCTATATGTAGGTACTCATGCCGAATTATTAATTAAATAATTGATTTATTTTTGTGGCTATGAATATAGTTTTTGAGCTAAAATGAAAGACAGAACGAAAATATAACGGTTCCTTGTTTACTCGGAACCCTAATAGGGGATGGGATTTAGACCGGCAAGGACCGATAGGGGCCGGAAAATAGAGGCTGGAGTGGCACGTTTTCTGCTGCATTAGGGAATGTCTAGATTTTCCCTACACTAGAGTAATTTGATACGCCTCGTACCAATAAAAACAAAAAAATCGAGTTCTAAGGATTATGTTGGGATGTGTTGGTGCCACTAAAAATACTGTCGACTTTGCCTTCTTCGTACGTGGCCGTTTCTTCTTCCACCTGCTCTATAGGATCCTCTTTGGGGTTGTCGTGTACAGACGTTTTGATCGTGAGCAGGGCAGGCAGGTCGAACAAGTATTGATTCATTTCTGGTGGACAGCCGCTGAAATGCTGGACGTAAGCTTGAAACTGCCAAAAGTTAGAAAAAAATATATAGTTACTACTGGAAACATTTGTTCAAAAATGCATTTACGGAGGTTGTATACACTGTTCGAAAGTTCAAAATTACGGACCATACACCGAACGTGCGGTAAAACATTTTACTGCACGTTCACCTACATGGAGCTGTGCGTATTATTTACGGTGTTTTCTTTAATTTCGTTCGGACCTCCAGTGTTTTCAATCTATACATTTGTATCACTTTAATATTAAAAAGAAAAAGAGACGAAAGATGTAGTTATAATTTTCACCACGACGTCATTTGACGTCATTTCGAAATGCACGCCATTTTCTTATAAAAAGAAGTTTGCTCCATTACTTTAATTATGTATACTGTTTTCTCGCAAATGTGATGAAAAACGTTGTAAGTATGACATTCGTGTGAAATTGGTTATTACAAACTCGTGACTATGGTAAAGCCTCAACTTCGTCTCGGGCTTACATTCGTCTACTCGTTTGTACCAACCAATTTACCGCACTAATATTATAAAAATAACTAATATAGACATTTTAGAATATTATGGCAACTGGCAACCGTACTTCTTTTTGATGTAAAAAGGGTGGTATTCCATCCACTATAAGTTCGGAATGTCTGTGAGTACAGGTTTGAAATGGGGTATAAGGTGTCGGTATAGGATCCGCATAATATTTATTTATTTATTAAGTGATCATCACGAACGATGTTAGAGCAAGCGCACATTAGGCCACTAGTTGCGGCCACCGAACGCGTCCACAAGCTGCGGTCGAGTTTTTTTCATTCATTTTCTATAGTATCGCCGTAAACTAAGCGTTCGAGTGGCCGCCATTAAGCTATTAGCGGCTTAAGTGGCCGCGATTAGTGGATCAATGTGCGCTTGCTCTAAAACATTGTCAATGAATAAAAAATATCATGATAATGGATGGAGAGGTCATTTAAAAAAAATAAGAAAGTCAATGGTATTTATGTTTTTATTTTAGCATTTAGCTGCTACATGTTTAAATCCAACGAAAATTTATCCGGGCGAATGCACTGACCATTATATTTTATATTAGAGCCGCGGTAACATAATGGTCAGTGCATTCGCCCGGATAGCGAAGGGCGCGGGTTCGAGTCCCGTCTGCTGCCTGGTCCGCGTGGAATTTTATCTAGTTAACTTTTCTTTAGAAGTCTATCGTAGCTTTTTTTTCTCTCAGTTCAGTTAACGACTTCCAGTAAGTACTTTTGGTACTTGAGATCTTTTTCCTATAGAAAACTTTTGGCACCTGGTGTTTGTGGCGGGGTGGTACTAACTCCCGATAATATGAGAACTATAACAATAAGTTACTTCGCTTATGATTTTCTTCATCTTTCCGCGCCACTCGTGGTCGACCCTGGCGGCGGTTTTGTACCCTCGCGACAGGTGTAGGATCAGCTGCTGACCCTCAGACAAGATGTTTTGGAGAGCACTAATGTAGCCCGAGTATTCTGCAAATAAATAATTGAAACTCTTTTCTGTGCCTTTGAATAGACTTTTGTAAGAGAAAACTTACTTATTTTGTTAGCTACTGTAGATAAAATAATGTATAGAATCTGATTTTATAAATATACAACCGGCCATTGCGGGAGATACTTCGCTTCCACGATAGCTGGCCGCCCACGTTATCTGTTTCGCCATCAAACCTTCCTTCCATACTGATTTTTAAAGTCGAATTAGCAATATCAAAAAATTACCACATGAGTGCCATTGTACGTTTAAAAAACATAAAACGTTTTGTTTTGTTTTCTGTATTATATTCTGAACTAATTTCGAAAGGCTCCTTTTCCAGAATATTCCTTTGTATATAGAATTCTAGGAGAAAAGAAAAAAAAATGTAAAGGTATTGGCGATAACAAACGGACAAAGGAAAGAATTCAGACAGCGATAGCAACATCTGTTTATGACTCCATCCTTTAGAAGTTGAAGTTTATGATTACTTATATAGCAACAATTTCGCATAATTCCAGTGCAACAAAACGGGGGATTTGATCATAGGCTACCGCATAGAAACTTTCATTGTTTGCAAGACAATAACGTATTAAAGACGTTTATTGATTTCCGTCTTGCTTTGTATGGGTTTTTAGGAATGTAATTTAAAAAAAGTGTTACGCTAGGTATACCTAGCGATAGACATTTTTTTGATACCATGTGATATATCACTTGAGGGATTGACACAACTTCAAAGGAGTAGATTGTGAGTTAGAGTTACGGACGACTCAGACGCGCATCATGTAATTGACTCACAAATTCACTCTGGACAAAGAAAAGCGGACTCCTGCTCGCTCATCTCTCACAGTTTTCAATCGACTAAAATAACTGGGTGACAACCTCCCCCGTTAGTCGATTCGTATATTTTTTTTATGTGTGAGTGATGAGTCCAATTTTGAAACTTTCTTTTTTATTAGAAAGGTTATAACTCGAACTTTGTCCCAGATATATGTGGTAACTAAAATCCTACTCAAAATGTGGGAAAATAGGGGTGATTATTCACTAACAGATTTTGATGCTGGTGCATGTCTGATAGATCTGAGTTCAAATTACTACTTGGGTTGGTATGGCACCGACTCCAAATATTAATTCGGATAATGATAAAAAAGGTTTATTATTTTTTGCTTTTCTGTTTTTTCAGCGGTTTAATTTTTATGTTAAAATGAAAAGTTTGAACTGTACAGTTCAGGACAGGGAACCAACCAAGCAATTGTCACATTTCTGACGGTGTTCTGAAATATGACTATTGCTTGGTCGAACTTGTCGTGAGAACGGAAAATGTTCACGATAGCACGATAGCGTGGCCGTATTACGTTTATGGTGGTTTACCAACGCAACCATGTCACGGACCAATATCACATTCCACGTGTATATAACCTCTGTCTTCCGCTATATAGTTTGAATCGCATTATACCTACCTTCAATGAGCCTCATTTTCTCCAGCTTGCTCTTCCGGCGTTCGGCACACATAACAAACATCAGGCCCGCCAAATTCTTGCATTCCAGCTGAGCTTGCAGCGCCGTGATCTTCTCCTGGCGTTCTCTGTAGGCTTCTTGGAGCATGTGTGCAGCTCTAACCTCCTCATTCCTTAACAATTAATAAATTATAAGTTAACTATGAATATTATTATGTACAACCTGCTGGATGGTAAGCGGTTACTGTTCTTATTATTTTGCAAGTAAGTAGAGCCTTGCGAATTGCTATACAAGCAGATTAGATAGAGCCATACTCTATCTATCTATATATATATATATATATATATATTATATTATACTTTGGCATCTGCATGAAATATAATGTTATATTTCATGCAGATGCTAAATGAAGCCGACTATAAAGATAATCGTACATGGAGTGGGGGTTTCCATCATTTTCACTTTTATGCATAGTTGCTAATCAAAAACGTCTTAAAAGTCACTGTAAAATCACGATATCTAAATATCAATCAAACGCTTCCTACGACAGAGACAACTCTTCGACAGATACACAACACACAGAAAAGTAGTCATAATAATATGTAATCTTTTGTAGGGTATATGTCAATTCCCCAGAGGAACGCTCCAATTCGGGCAGAAGTTTCCTATAAAAGCTTAAAAATGTAAAGAAATAAAATAATAATCCAAAGGAGAGACTGTTGTAGTCAGGTTTACAAATAACAGATACGAATGTGAAGTGCTGGCAAAAAGCGGAAACATTTTATAAGTTTGGAGCGAAAAAGCTAATATTCTTTCGTATTTCGACCACACAGTTGAGACAGTGCACATAGGGTCAACAGAATAATGGAAAAACTTTATTGGGGTTGCGATCATTTAGGACAAAATATGGCGCGGTGAAATGCGCAACAAAATTAACCTATTTTATTAGAAATTTCTACACGGTTTTAACAGTGCTGGACAGAATCTGGTGGAAGCTGATCATCCGCTCTAGGTGTAACGCTGACCACTATACTCAGATACGAGGGATCGACGCGACCCCAGAGACAACGAATAAACTCAAAAACTACTGAACCGATTTCAAAAAGTCTTCCTCAATTAGAATGCTATATTATTCCCGTGTAATAAAAGCTATATTTTATCGCTTTCAGATCTTTTTTACCCGTGCTAAGCCGGTGTTGATCGCTAGTTATATACATTTATTTATTTATCTGATACCTTTGATGTTCAATGATCGTCCCTAAATGGCTGTAAAGGAATTCAGTTGTGGTACTTACTTAACAACTAATTAGAACAATAGCAAACAATTTTAAAATTAGTAAAAAACTAAGTATCTTTTTGTTTGTTATTTCTTTTGTTTTGGCTGTGCGTATTTCGTGACAAAAGCGCGGTGTAATGAAGTGTTATTAAGGTAAAAATAATCTTTTTTTTACGCTAATATTAAAAATGCGAAAGTAACTTTGCATGGTATTTTATCTGTCAGTCGGCGTCAAAAACCGCTGAACCAATTTTTATGATTTAAGCTTAAGTATTAATGTTGATTCTTATCGATGCGACGGAAGCCCATATATTAGGTAGGGACCTAATAAAAATACATATCACATAGTTATTACTGATAGGTAAATAAGTAATAGATACCTATTTGTTTTCTTTAAGTACCTACCTATTTTTAAACTACATTTACTATAAGTAGGTCCCTTTGTAGGTATTACTCAAGTAGGTAGCTAAGTAAACTTCTTATCCATTTAAAATTAATAATTTAAACGTAACAAATTTCTTAGAAATCATTAACAAAGATAAGTAAGGTAAAGTGAAAGGATTAAAATATTTATAAGTACCCTAATAGTTCTCAAAATAATGTTATTAAAATATGTATTATCATTATGAAATGTCTTATTTCATAATAATGCATCGTACATAACTGATTACATCGAACCGATTACTTAATATATGCCTAATTAGGTAATAATATAATAGGCGAAAGGTTTAAAAAATAGCACATTCCGTAAAATTCTTAGTGGATTATTATTAATTTTCTAAATTGTAGTCATCGGCTTTAATCTTTTTGGAATCTCTATTATAGTTATGATTTTATTTTAAATAAAGCTGTTCTGGTAATATAATACAGAGAAAATACTATTATGCGATAATTTATTAGATCTTTTTAAACAAGATTGTTTAACACACCTTTATGTACAAACATAAAAGCTTTCTTGTCGAAGTTCCTCCCACTGGCACGAAGCGATTTGCTTCCGCTTTCATTATTCGAACGGCTAGGGAGTGGAACTCCTTGACGAGGTCTGTTTTCCCGGACCAATATAATTTGGACATCTTCAAGGCCAGGGTGAACAGGCATCTTCTAGGCAGGCGTGTAGGTACCATCCTAGGTCTCATCTTCGCTTTCCATCAGGCGAGATTGTGGTCAAACGCCTCGGAGTTGGTAGGTCGCATATTAAGCATAAATGGCTATTCGTATTTGCTATTTGTAAACTTGGCAACAGTCTGTCCTTTTAATGCTTGAATAGAAATGGAATGAATTGCAAAGGATGCACTGATGTCAAGTTTACAAATAGAAAACACGAATAACTGGAGTGTCGACATTACAATTAAAGCCAACGTCTGTATAGTTACATTTATTTGTCTAAGGTAGGTAGGTACATTTAAGTACCTTCGAGTATTTATCAAATTTCAGGATTGAATTCGCATAAATTAAGGTTTTTATTTAAAATAAAACTTTGAATCTATGTATTTGATTTCCTAAAAATTTCGCGAAGTTACTTTCACGTAGATGGGAAATTGCCGTTATAACTTTAATTAATCTAAACAAAATATTACTACAAAAAATCCACGCGGTCCAGACAGCAGACGAGACTCAAACCCTTCGCTGTCCGGGCGAATGCACTGACCATTATTATGGCCGTGTCGAATTCTTTCTAGCCTTTCTTAAGCTGCAAAGCAGCGCCAGCTCTTTGCATAGTAGATAACCCACATGTCAAATGAATACCTTTACAAGTATTAAACATTGTAAAGAAGAAATAACAATTATGCATCGAGCTGTTACATACTTAAAGAATTAAAATTATATTTTAGCTTTAATGAAGTTAAATTAAGTACATTTTTATGGTTCTACAAGTTGAATTTAAAATCTTGCTTGTTTAGTTTTCTATAAAAGATGGGTAAATTGACCCTATATTCATGGATATATAAAAGTTTTTAGTTCTAAATACATGTAAAATATTGGCACTATTCCGTCGATCCGATTTGTATAATAAAACGTCCGACAATTTGTAGTTACCTACTTAATATACATGTATAATGTCAAGTGTGTGTGAGTGAAGTCCAGCGGGGCTGAAAAGATAGATGAAACTGTAGGTACCTACTAGGTACCCTTAAATTTATTGATAAATCGATGTATGTTGTTATGTCTGTCCTAGTTTACGCTATAGAATTAAAATCTATTTAATACTTCAGACTACATAGGACAGGCCCTTGCTCTCCAACCCTTGCCGGCCTGATCCCTTGTCATTTACTCCGCAGACTAATTTTGTAATAAAACCTAATACTAACTGTAATATGTAATCGAATTTATCCTTCAATTGTGATATTTCCAATGCCAATTTCAATTCGAACTCCTTCCTTATAGCCGCCTCTTTTTCCATCAGAATCGTTTTTATCTGTTCAGGATCTACCCTCTCTTTTAAATGCTCCGTTTCTTTGTTGCAATGGCAACTGCTTTGGTGCTGCTTTGGTCTTTTGGATTCCTTGGATTCTGTGTTGGTGGTTGCTTCCATTTCTACGGATAATACCGCTGGAGAGCATCGCTCCTCCGTTATGACTTCCAGGAGTTCGTTATCTGTGGCGGTGATTATTTGATCGCCAATCAAATGTCGCGACATTCTGTAAAAGGAAAAGAAAATTATTTTTATAACTATACTTTTGATGTATTGTTATGTTTATAACTATACTAATGATGCAAGCAAGCATATTAATTAAAGTAGGTAAACCTTTATTATGAGCAATATCACAAGTATCAGTTAGATATACAGATAATACATGTCAAAATCAATTATAATGTTAGTTGTCAGTGAAGTGATTTTTATATGCATACTAGTTCTCGCAACTCCGTCTGCGTGTAAAAATTAGTTACAACAAACCCCTTTTCACCCCGTCAAAAAAACTATCATATGTCCTTTCCCGAGACTCAAAGTATATCTATACCAAATTTCAGCAGTTTAAGCGTGTAAAAGTTACAGACAGACACTCTCTCGCATTCTTATTAATAGTATGGAAATATGGATATGGATAAGTACCACATAAAACAGCTCTTTCTGTGTTCTGATATTATACCTCAGTAAAATAATTATCAATTTAATATTTTAAGGATATTACAACATTTAAAAAATATATTGTACCTACAGTTACCATCCGGGAATGGAACCCAGTCTCCGTAGCATGAGTACTACAGAGTAGCGTCTAACTGCCAAACTCTCTATTAATTTGATATATGAGCGTTATAAAAACGAGCTACTTAAATCATGTCGCGGTGCTCATGCTGGCGGCTGGGGCTGGTATTACTTATCTTGCTGGTAAGTAATTATGTGTAGTGTAGGAAATCTAACTATGTTTTTTAAATAGTAGGTATTTTAGTAACGATTTATCTTTTAGAAGACTACAGAGATTTAATTCGATTAATGTATATCTCTGGAAAAGTATAAGTAAGAACATAGTAAGAACGAACGACGGTTTGTAGGATTAAAAACTGTAGACAATGTTTCGCAAAATAAGTAGATCCCAATCTATTGTTCTTTCGGTATGTATTGTTTGTTTCATTGACCAGGTAGGAAGAAAACAAAAGGAGCAGAAAGGGGGTTGCGGAGGGATTGCCGCTTTCCCCCTTCCCCTGCATTCCATGTTCGGTTATGGCACTTTGGTAGATATAAAGGTTTCGTCAAATCAGTCGCGTCCGTTGCTCCCAGTAGTCAAGACGTGGTAAATAATTTATTTATAAATAAATGTATCGCATTTTTATAAAAGTTAAAGTGCTATTTACGTTTCAATAAAAATGTGTTCGATGTTTCGATGTTCAATACTAAGTCAGTAATTTTGACGTTTTAATTTCAATGATGGCAACATCGGACTCGGTCGGAATTTTGCTGTCGTGAAGTTTGTAACATGTGATGTTTCGTGAAGTGTTAATTTTTAACGAAAAGCAATTTTAAATGGACTGTGATGTATTAGAACGTGTTAAAAAACTAAATAGTGTTAGTGTAGTGAACTGTAAATTGTGCTAAAAGATTTTAAGTGCACTAGAAATAATTACATGGATAAAGCCGTCACTTGAGGTTGTAAAGGTTAGTGCTTTTTTCATCTGTTGTTTGTCTTAAAATAGATTTCTGTGCGGGTCGCAATGATATATCAGTTTTGTTTGTGTAACGCTTTCATGTGACTTTTCATTTTTTTCATCGGACCTTGAACTAGAAATCTGTGTGAACCTTTTTTCCGCAACCAAGGTTAGGTTAGCGCGGGCGATTTATGTCATACTAAAATTGTTTGTTTTGTCCTTTTTCTTATAAAACAATGTTATAAAACGGTTAAATAAATGCTTTGAATCAATATTCAGGTATTATTTATTACAATAGAGTCTAAAGATAAAAAAAGCAATGCAACCATGAACATAACCTCTACGCTGCGCTGTATTTGGTGCATTTTTTTTGCAAGTGAAGTGATCGTGTAATGAAACCGTTAACTTTGCGGTGTTCGCGTGTGTTTATTGCACCGTTTAGTACATGAATTGTTGCTTTGGAGTTAAATATTAAGAGATCACGTGATAACGCGGATTGTTTTCCGTAGTTGACAGATGGGTGATTGTCGCCTACGATGGTATTTTGGCCCTTAACTACAGGTACACACAATGCCTATAGTCCACGATAAAACCACTGAGAAGCTTCAAACAATGTGTTATGATCACAAATAAATTATTGACAGTTAAGTTTATAAACTGGTTCATTAATTAAACAAGCACATGTAAATAAAATTACACCCAGTACCAATGTTAAGGTTATTAAACAGGTGTTAGGTTACAACCACACTCATGCCTTTTTTAAATTCACCTTAATACTATCTGAATCTGATTAACAATTTGTAAAAGCTAACCAATTATTGTTAAATACATTTATTTATAAGTATTATAAAATAGAATAGTAAATTGCACTTAATTAATATTGCAGCTAAGAACAGCTGAAATATATAATTATTTAATAATCATACAATATGACTCCTGATAAAGTAAAAGTATTATATAGATAATATTATAATTTATTTAAAAAAATAATTGAAATTAAATTATATTATCAAATTTATTTTTCTAATTTTCTAAACAGCAGAATGTTAATATTTATAGAGAAAAAAATATCTGATATTTCTATATTTTTTTTATTTCAGAATTGAACTGCTTCATTTTCCTATGTAAAAGATTTTTTACTAAATATAATTCATTGTGTCTAATTTGCCAGGCTTAACTGCAACAGAAATTGTGACAATATTTGTGACTGCAGATGCTTCTTCTCTTTCTATAAACGGCTGAGTTGTATTGTTGTCCTTGATAGCAATTGCGAATAAAACAAATGGTGATTTAAAAATATAAAGTGTTGTAGTGTTGCGATTGTAATTGCAAAGTGATGCTGTGGAATTTATAGGCTCCTTTGAAAAGGCATTGTTTTATCATTTTAACTCATAATATTGACAGTGAAAAGGCAAACTCGCTTAAACGTCACTGTAGTAACTTTACAGAAATGAGGATCAGTTTAAAAAAAAACACCTCATTGTAAATGAGAAGTAGCGCCTTAAAAATAAAAACATATTTATAAAATAATATTTTCTATATAGCCTCCTATTAAAAAGGCACAATGGCCTTTACAAATTAGATGTTGCTTGAGCAAAAATCACTCGGCCCACCATACATTTTTGTCAAGCAAACCTCAAATCTTACGCCAAACAGTAGGGCGTAAGCGCCATTGGTTCAAAAAACACAAATTTATGTTAAAAAAATCTCAAAAAATTTAATTGCTTAAGTGCCAAAAAAGTACTTGAATCTTTATGAAAAAAACCTGATTAATATGATATGTATAACTCATTTCCGACTAATGTGGTGTTTAAGCGATATTGCCTTTCCTCTGTCGATATATAATACAGTTTTTCATGCAAATGCAGCTTGACAAATAGCGACTAAAGTGTGCTAAAGTGAAATTGTGTGCATGCAGATAATTTAAATGGGCACACTTTAAAGAGGCCAGTACTACAGTATCATCCCTTTTTGATTTAATCTTAGGCTGCATGACAACAACAGTTACAATTAAATTCAAAAAAAATACAATAGTACCTTGTTATTCAGAAATTCTCTATAATCATCAACAACACTAGATAATACATAAATGTTTTTTTTAACTGATTTTCAGTATGTTTTATATTTTTTTTATTAAGTAATTTTTAGGTTTTCTGCTATTGTTTACATTTGTGATTTAATCATTCAATTTGTGACATAAATCTGTCAAACCCATTAAAATAAACTGTCAAATTTTTTTGTTCTTTATAGTTTGTATACATTATGGTACAATGTATACAAACTATAAAGAACAAAAAAAATAAGTATTTAGAATAGGTTAAGTTTTTATGTCTAACATATTTGTGGATACAAAAATAGACCAGCCCTATTAGTCCAGGCAACAAATGCTCAAAAACAGGTATAGAGGGAAATGCTTGGAACACAATTTTTGACTTCGTAACTTTGTTAGGACTAGTTAGGAGGTAAATATATCAAAAGTCCCCGCCCGTAGCCCTTAAGCCAGGGGGAAGGGGGGGGGATTGAAGGTCCCATTTTTAGGGTTTTCGCATATATCTCGGAAACTATGCATCCTAGCGACATGAGACTTTCACAAAAGTGAAAGCTAATTAAATTTGCTACAAGTCTTATTCAGTCAAGTTTTTTGATATCTTGTATAGTTTTCGAGATATCCGCTCTTGAAAGTCTGTAATTATGGAAAAATATATTTGCCACCACTTCCTGGGAATGCTGTTTTACTGCTCCCTCGTTGGGAGGAAGAAGAGAGAAGCTTGATGGTGGCCACTGATTTCATGAATGACTTGTACCTGTATGCATTGAGGGAAATCTCTTTCGCTGGAGCTCCATACCACCTTAAGATGCAGGTTTCACCTACCTTTTGTACTTGAGCGGTGTTGGAGAAAGGGTGTGAAAAGACCGCTGCTGCTTTCTGGATTTCTGGTGACTTGATAATGTCTCTGGAAAGGGAGGAAATTTCTCAAACCAATCGGTGAGCTTGGCAATGTCAGCTCCATCCTTGTTTTGGCGGGCTTGTCCGAAAACCTGCATGCTGCTCACTGGTGGAACCAACAACCCTACGGCCGGCATTGTTGAAGAGTTATCCGGTCAAATAGAGCAAAAATGTGAAGCAAATTTTTTTTTCCATAATTACAGACTTTTAAGAGCGGATATCTCGAAAACTATACAAGATATCAAAAAACTTGACTGAATAAGACTTGTAGTTTCCGAGATATATGCGAAAAACCTAAAAATTTGACCTTCAATCCCCCCCCTTCCCCCCGGCTTAAGGGCTACGGGCGGGGACTTTTAATATGTTTACCTCCTAACTAGTCCTTACAAAGTTACGAAGTCAAAAATTGTGTTCTAAGCATTTCCCTCTATACCTTTTCGTTGCCTGGACTATATTACATTAAATAACGATTAAAAATTCAATGGTTTTTAAATAAATTAAGTTGAGCATAACAATTCATGACATACGGAGCCGAGACGTGGACACTGACGGCACGGCTGATCCACAGGTTCAAAGTCGCTCAACGCGCTATGGAAAGGGCTATGCTCGGCGTTTCTCTGAAAGATCGCATCAGAAATGAGGTAATCCGACAGAGAACCAGAGTTATCGACATAGCCCACCGGATTAGCAAGTTGAAGTGGCAGTGGGCTGGCCATATTTGCCGAAGAACCGATAACCGTTGGGGTAGACGAGTTCTGGAGAGGAGACCGCGTCTAGGCAAACGTAGTGTAGGACGTCCTCAGGCACGATGGAGTGACGATTTGCGCAAGGTGGCTGGCAGGAGCTGGATGCGAGTAGCCCAAGATCGATCTGAGTGGCGTGCATTTGGAGAGGCCTATGTCCAGCAGTGGACTATGATAGGCTGTTGATGATGATGATGAATACCAAAAACAGCTGCCACAATTAGTATCTAGGTAGCCTTTTGTTTTTGTCCATCAGTTTAAATGGACTTTTCAACCAATTTAAAAAAAGGAGAAGGTTCTCAATTTGTCTGTATGTTTTCTAAGTCTGTAGATTTCCAAAATACTTTTTGTAATCGCAAACGTATACTCGCAAAGTGGTCCCATAGAAAAATTGACATGATCTTATCAAGTACCACTGAGATGTGAAACAGAACTCTTAGTAGAATCATAGCGGAACATTTGTAATCAGTAATATTACTTTGTTGATACAAGCAGTCCATGGCTAACCACTAATGAGGAAGAGGACAGAATGGGTTGGGGAGAGGGGTTACGTCAACCCTCCCTCCTATCACTTTTAAGTGTGAGGGATTGTATCATCAAACATTTTATAAGGATTTAGTTCCATTGCCACTTTTGATATGACGGCTCGCATCGTTATGCATGATGATTTAAGGATTTTGTTGATGTTGCTCGTAAGGGGCCATCCATAAATTACGTCACACATTAAGGGGGAGGGAGGGGGTCAACGAAGTGTGACTTCATGTGACAAGGGAGTATGAGGGTTTCTAAATTTCATGACTTCACATTTCGAAATATATATTATAGGTATTCTAACTGTGGAAACTATTACTAAACGAAAACATTAATAACCCAAGCGAGAACAAAATGGTGCTAAGCCAGTTATAAATAATTTAAAGGAGTGGGTTCAATGTCCATGGACTCAAGTTTATTAATTTTGTATTTTTAATTTAATTATAATGCTATTAATATTTTTTGTTTTGTTAATTTCTTTAATTAATAAATTCAATCGTTTTTTGTTATGTTAATTTCTTTAATTAACATAGTCAATAGTTTTTTGTTTGGTAATTTCTTTAATTAATATAGCTAATCGTTTTTTGTTTTGTTAATTGTTTGATTTGATGTTAATATTATTAAAAACAATTTAAATAGAAACTGATTTCAACACCCCTGTTTTCATTCAATAATTTCTAAGTGTAAATTTGCAAAATATGTGACGTCACACTAGGGAGGGGGGGAGTTTTACAAATGTGACCAGCTGTGATAAGGATGGGGGGAGGGGCAAAAAATCATGAAATTCGTGTGACATCATTTAAGGATGACCCCTCAGTACTTATAGAAAGTGGAAAATAAAAACTGAGTTCATTAAAGCAAAAGTACGAAATAGTAAAACATAATACATATTCTTAACAATATAAACAACACTTAAAAATATATCTTAACTTATTAAAATAAGTATTTAAGGTCAAACTAACATTTGGAGTCAGTGCCTTGCATGTTGATAGATCTGAGGTACTGCATTATACATTTGCTGCTTGCTGTTAGCATAGCACATTAATTTTAAAAGTGCTTTAGATATAACTTAGGAATGTTATATTTTGTGCTTTTTAGTGCTTTTGTTTTTATGAAGTCTTTTTATTTTTGTTAAAATAAGTTTTTTAATCTGCAAGTTCCAAAAAACATCCTATCTATCCAGAGCATTTTGTTTGCTTTTGTTATGTTAGTGCATTGTTTTTGGATAAACAATTTTTGATTTCACTTCTTAACAGTTTTAAAAGGATAATATTATAATTAGCCTGCAAAACTACAAAGTTGTAATCACTAAAATATAGGAGCAATTAATAATGTATTTAACAACAAAAACTACATTGTTTGGTAACTGTTTAGTATGATATATTTGGTTTAATTTATTGGTAGAATAAATAGTTATTTTTTAAATTATATTTTTAAAAATGCTTGGATTTTTTCTAGTTCCATTTTTTTTTAGATTTAAACATCTATCAGTTAGCTACATTTTCACTAATTTATCCATGAAAGTAAGCAATATAGAAGTCTTGTTAAGTAATGTCAATGAAACCAATATAAAACACAAAGTTTTAAGGTTAAACTTAGATAAAATCAAAAAGGGAAATATGGTCCACTCGTCCATCCATTAGAAAATGTTCTGACTCAACTACATAAGTCTACTTGCAAAAACCGCTGAACAGATTTGGATGAAATTTAGTATGCATATAGTTTATGACCTGGATTGAAGTAAAGGATACTTTTCCAAAAAATCCTGGAATAATTATAGGTTCCTACAGTATCTCAAAAATCTAAAGTTAAGGCAGAAGAAGCTGCGGGTGGACACTATAATGAAGTGTCCTTTTTTTATAGTATTGCGTTTGCGAATGAAAAGTGATGTTTTGAAATTTGTTTTTTTACTTTACTATTTGTGTACTTTTTAAAATAATCAAATGCTTTGTGTTATATTTAATATGGAATATTTGTGCAATATTTTGTTTTTCATGCATATGCAGCTTTTTTGCTTATCAAATTATAGCTTAAGCGTGCTAAAGCGAAATTGTGTGCACACACGTAATTTAAACGGCGCATTTTTGAGAGGCCATTGCCGTATCATCTTTTTTGATTGAATGGTGTTATAAGGGTTTTTCCTATCTTCAAGCTTTTTTAATCATCATTCCACCACCACTACTCAATAAAATCCAAAAGCAAATCCTGATTTGTATATCTAAAGAAGAATATTATTAGTATTTTTTTTATTTTAACTTGCATAGTAATAATTCTAAAAATAAGAATGTTAGAACTCTGTTTGTTTGTTATGTACAATAAATAGGTCATTTTTTGTTATGGTAGATGAAAAGGATCCTGTGAAAGAATATATAGGCTACATTTTCAAACACAAATACAAGTTAAAAATGGGATAAAACATTGTATTGAACCATAATTATTATAATTATCTTCAGTTAGTAACTAATGAACTAAACATGTCAACATAATTCTTTATGTAGACAATGATGTCGATTCTGGCGTGATTCTCTAAACTTAAAACTAAATTTAACATCAGTCTCTCCTTTTCATTCTGTATAGAGAATGACAAGGATATACTGTTGTCAAATTTAAGTTTAGAGAATCATGCTAGAATCGACACCAATAACTGTATACCTTATATAAATATGAAATATTTAAATGATGTTCTTGGTCTGTTAGCAATGATTTGTTCATAAACAGGGAGATTTGAAGAAAAAGATAGATTTGATATATACTGTAGAGGGGATAATCATTTTTAAATTTCTCTGCAGATATGGAGTCACACATCATGAATGTGCCCTATCATCAAGCCCGCTACCGAACAATCGGGCATAAAATCATGAGGACAACAAGTGAATCTTTGTCATCAGAAAGTAGTTGTAATCAAAATAGCCCAGAGTATAAGGCCCAAGATCCTGTTTATGACAATCGTTATGAGGAAGAGAGCAATGAAGTTCAAAACTGGCAGGCTCAAGCCGTGAGTATTTTATTATATATTTTTATATACTAAATCTTCTTGCTTAGGTAAAAAAGTAGATTAATTTTATTTTTATCTGAAATAAAAACTCTTTACTAATTTTTATAATTTTCGTTCCTTGACAGGTTAATGTTTCACAATCAAGTCAAGATACTTCAGATGATGATGAAGAAGGAGAACAAATTGAAGTTCAAGAAGTACAGTACGAAGTGCGGGATTCTGATTCCTTAGTTTATGATGTTTGTTCCTCAGAGGCTGATAATATTGAAGATACGTCACTGGTTGAAGGTGCAGACTATGATATTATACAAGTTTATGCTGTAGATCCTAATTTAGATCTTGAAGCTTCATCTGAAGATGAGGAACAAACAGAATATGTTGAACAAAATTATACAGAAGCTGAAGCAGAATATGTGAATCCTGATGATTCGCATTTCAATACAGATACTTATGACCACAAACCATCGGACATACTACAAGGAACACTGAATATTGATCTGGACACTCCAGTAGTTTCAAATGTCGATGAGTATTTCATAAAAGTTGATAAAAATAAGGATATACTGGAAGTCAAAGATGAACCTGTAGTCCAAGATGTTGATGAATATTTTATCAAAGATGCGGCACCTCAAGTGCCAAATATTGATGATTTTTTTATCAAACACAAAGTGCCAGAAGAAGAGAGTACCAAATTCTGCATTGATAAACCACCATCAAAAGTAGATGAACTCTTTCCACAAACTGATATAAAGAAATTACCAAATATTCAAATGGATCAACAACAAAATGTAGATATTGCTATTAATGATTCAGATTTAGAAGTTCTTCCAAATATTGAGGACTTGAAGAATTTTTTAATGGAAGATATGCCATGCACCAGAGCGAAGAACGCTCAGAAGTCTTGCTCTCTACCACATTCTCCCATCAATATTTGTATGGATATTGATGATGCGAAAACATGTTTGAGTTTTGAAGATCTAAACTTGGATCTATCTGATCTTGGTCTTGACAAGACTGATAGCCTAGCCAATAAAAGTGACGACATACCTCGTACTTTGACAGAAGAAGATGTCAATAGTTTTCTTATAACAAGTAAATCAGAACCAAAAAGCGAAATTAAAGATGAAGATAATTTCTGCCCTCAAGACATGGAAATTGAGAGACCTGTAGAGTCGTCGATAAATGATATTGAAGATACAGCAATTGTTACACTAATAAATAAAGAAAACCGCACTTCGACGCCTAAAAAACAAGAAAAACCACCATCTCAACCAACCGTCTTAGAATTTTGTGTTGAAAAAATATCCCAAACAACTCCTATTAAGAAAGAACTTATTACCGATATTAAGGCTGAGCTGGATGATTTTATTGATGTAGAGTCTTGCAATGATATTGTAGTTCCTGTTTTGGAAGCAAATAATTTAAATTCACTTTTGGAACAGTTTGAAGCTACTGAAAAACTAAACACAAAAACAAATCGAGTAGTTGTTAAAACTGAAGAACCAAAAGTGAAGAGTATTAGTAAAACAAGCTTGACAAACGGAATGAGATTGCAAGATGCGGGTGTTCAATTGAACAAAAACAAAATGCGACATATTCTGGTAAGTTCAATAGTTTGTCATGTGTTTTATTTAATAGTTTGAAGTACAATTTTAAATATAAGCAAATATTGCAGATGCCGTCCACAATTAACGCTACTGTGCAGAGATCACCCAGTCCTGTTCATTCTGACCATGACTACTGCACATCCAAAAAGCGACAAAGTCTTCCCAACTTGAAAAGGGGACAGAGTCTGCTCAAGCCGGAAGTGTTATCTAGTAACAGCAGAATCTTGAACTCAAGGCATAGATCCTGCAAAGATAAAAAAATTGTTTACAATCTAAGCAGTGATGATGAAAGTGAAAAGTGCAACAACAATATTACTAAAAATAAAAAGAATGTTAACCATCGTGACGATAGTGACGTTAAATTTAAAAAGCTAACTATAAAACAACCAGTAAAACCTATAGCACAAGCTACTTGTCGTAAAAAACTGTCACCACCACATAGTGCGGCAAATGAAAGTGCTAAAAACATTTCTGTGATTAACAAAAGTGCTTCTAAAGCAAGTGATACTCCTTGTAGTCAAAGTTCTAATGGTAGCATTAAGTTAACTATAAAAAATAAATCAGAAGTCATACTTTCCTGTGATCATAAAAACTCTCATAAAAGTAAACATAGTGACAAATCCAAAAATAGTAGTGGGAACGATAAACCTTTAGACAATAATAAGATATCAAACAATGTAAAAGAGACAAAAGTGAAGGAAGTGAAAAATCATAATTATAAAAATGTAAAAGAAGTAGAAGTTAGTAATAAAAAGCCTGAACATATTAAGGAACCAGTTAAAGAAAGTGTTGTTAGCAACATTACTGTAAAAGAAGAGCCTCAAGATAACTTTTACACAGCTTTGTTTGCAAATAAACAAGATGTCCAAATTCCAGCTACAATGATTAAAACAGAAAAGAGGCCTTTTGATGAGGAACTTCAAAAGATATCCGAAAATATTATCAAAAAAGAAGTAGAGCAACCCCAGAAGAAAAAGAAATTAAACTTGCATGAATATAAAATGAGAAGAGTCAATTCAAATAATAGTTCCACAACGGTTAGCCCAGAAGCAATATTTCCTGATCTGCCGCACTTAAATTTGGATAAAACTTTAAAGTCTACATTGACTCCAATTCCAAATGGAGCAACACAGACTAAAATTGAAACCAACACCGAACCAAAAAAGATATTTGATCCTATTCGCGAAGCTTCGAGAAAGATTCTCATGCACACAATGAAACAGAAAGCAATGAGGAAACGGGATGAAGATATTGTTATGAGTAAGATACCAAAAGTTGAAAATCTTCAATTGCAACCTTTAATAAGCGATGCTGAAATGATGAAAATAGTGGGTATGACACCTGCCGAAGAAGTTCCCGTACTAGTCGCCCCAGAAAAGCCACCAGCCCCTGCAGATCATGAAGAAATAATATTAGTCAGTATAGGGGTAAACACAGATGAAGATGTTTTCAAAAAAATAGAATCTATGAATGAGAAGCGGAAATCGAAATCTCCAGCAGCAGATGCTAAATCTCTTATTAACTTCAAAATAAAAAAATCTGATCATGTCCTAAAACATAATGTGTTTGAATCTACAAGAAAAGATAAACACACTAGTGTTGTAGACGAAAAGAAACAAGATGCGAGAATTGATAAAGAACGATACAAGGACATAACTGCAGCACTGAAAAGAGCTGAGAAACAAGTGGACCCAAAGATCTCGAGTAATTCGCTTTTCGCTAGCATACAAGACGTCGTGATGAAGAAAGCGCCTGAGGAGGTAAACAAAGGAAGAGATAAGACATCAAAACCGAACTCTCCTACAGAGAAAAAGACGGAATACAAATACGTAAAAACTACGATAATTCGGGAATACGACATAAAAGCAGATCATGGCGAAGACAAGGTGATCTTACACTTGAGGAAAGACAGAAACAGACCTGCGTCCTCCACTGTAGTAGTTCAGACTGATCTAAAAGGCAAAGCCGCAGAAAAGGCCCCTTTCATCACTGATACGATAGTGAATAAAGAAGTATGTGTAACGAGGAAGCGAACCGATAGCGACATGTCCATGTCGAGCGATGATAGTCCGGTTCCCAAAATCAAATCGCCCAAAGATAAGGCGAAAGTTATAGTTAAGCCTAGAGAAAAGGTGAATGAGAAATGCTCGCTTTCAATAGAGAAGAGGTCTCGGTCTAAGGACAGATATGAGGCGAAACATAGACGCCGCTCGCGTTCTCATTCGCGCAGCCGGCGGAGACGAAGATCGCGCAGTCGAAGCAGATCGCGCTCAGGCGGTCGTTACAAACGATACAGACGTTCTGATTCGCCGTACAGAAGGAAACGGCGTTCCAGGTCGCCGTATCGCCGCCGGCCATCGCCGCGTCGCTCGCCGTCGGTTCGACGCTCGGTACCAGATCGGCATTCGCCTATACATCGTCGTTCACCCTCAATACGTCGCGACCATCGCCGTTCCAACTCGCGACCACGCCAAACCAAAAGCCCAATACCAATACCCAAAAAAACGAAACTAAGCCCACAGAACTCAGTTGAAAAGATCAGTTCGACGAATAAAAAACCCAAATCCCTGACTCCGCCACCGCGGAAACCTACTGTATCGGAAAGCTCTGACTCTTCAACGAGGTATGTGGTAGATGATTTATCTTGCATGATAATGTTATGATATTCATAATCAAGATAAATTCATGGGTGGGTGTTGTGTGTGTTGACCAAAACACATTGGCAATGACCTCACTTGACAGATGATCACACAACTCCACATTCATTGATTCACACATATATTGCATTGACTGTATAGAAAAACATTTTTTTTTATCTATATACCTACGTGATAAGATAATGTTTCCAATTTATTCTTGATATAATCTCTGAAAGGTAAATCTTTATGTGATTTTGCTATGGCCGTTTGGTGCAACGTCAAAGTAAGGGATAATTTATTCAAATTGGAAGCATTATACAACTCTTGTGAATCATAAAAGGTTTTTCGCTTTCAGAAGTTCAGTATGTTTTTTAGCTGTGGCGAATAACAGACGATAAAAACTTTAAACCCTTTATTAATAAACGAGGAATAAGTCAAAGTAGTTACGCCGTGTTTTCTTCATATCACTCAAATGTCATTCAATGAGCATAGACAAAACATGGAGCCAATAATAATCCAAGCTTATTCTTCTATTATTAATGAGGGGATATATTTTCAAACAAAATAGTGTAATCAATGGCAGGGCTTTGAATCTCAATAGAGGCATTTATTTGTGTGATGATCACAAATATTTGTTTTTGAGTCATAGTTTTTAATCAATTTCAAATTCGACTTATTCTACCCCAACTAACAACATGACTTGAAAATGATACAAAAACAAAGCACCAAGAACTTTGTCAGTTATATAAGTCACAAAGAGATGCTGTGTGGAATACAAAAAAATGAATTTTCAACAAATCGTATTTATCTAGTATATTCATTGATTTCAGTTCATCATCTTCCTCATCATCATCTTCATCGAGTTCTTCAAGTTCTGATGATTCTTCCCGTCGGTCATGTAGCCCATACAAGAGAGATGAAACGCCCAGGAAAACCTATAGAAGTTACAGCTCTGAAGACAGGTAAGTTGATAATAATTATTCATCGTCATCATCATCAGTCTATTAATGTCCCCAGTGCTGGCCTTCTCTATAGATACAATTGGTCATTGTATGACCCAACAATCCCGCTCAGTGTGGACTTTATTAAATTTTTGGTCACCCATCCGATGACCGGCCATTGCGAAAGTTGCTTAACTTCCACGATCGCAGAGCGAACGCGGTTATCACTTGTTCCATCGAGATGCTCTCTCATGGATTGCCAGAAACTAATCAATTTATTGTCGTTTTTTTAAGAGAGAGCAACACTCCTGTAGAGGAACGGCGGATAGTGTTCGTCGGCAAATTGGAAAAGGACATCACCAAGGCTACCTTGCGAAGCTTGTTTTCCAAGTTTGGACCGGTTATGGAAGTACGATTGCACTCTAAAGAAGACGGGTATGTAGAATAAAATAACTTTATATTTGTTTTACTGTAAATTTAATAAAGTTTCGAAAAATACAGTGTTAATTATAGTTTTATCTACTCTGATACTATAATACAAAGATTCTAAAACTGAAAACAAAATGCTTATGACAAACATTACGTGCAGGCCAAAAATAAAAAAAAAAGTTTAATTACGATACAGGTCTTGTATGAACACCTGTAACATAATATAAGTTTTTAATCATAACGATACACCTATAAAACCTGCAGCTGGTCCAAGGAGGTTGAATCTCTACTTTAAAAAGGTTTCAATGAACGAGTCCGCGACGACGCAACACGCATGCGCAATCGATGTTGGCATCTTGGCGCCAACATTTGACATTTAAAAAATCTTTTCAATATTTAAACAAAGTTTGGTTTTGTTTGTAAAATACATAAGTTTTTGTGTAAAAACATGTCTGAAAGCGGGGATAGTGGTGATTGTACACCACCAGACATTCTGGAAGCTGCGTCAAACATGACCATGAACCTGTTGCCGGCGAAATCTAGGAGCAACTATAATAAATATTACCACGAATTCATGGAATGGAAAATGAATAAAAATGCTACATCATTTTCTGAAAATGTGTTGTTATCGTACTTTCAAGAGTTATCTGAAAAATATAAAGTGTCAAGTGTGGGTTAAATACTCCATGATTAAAAGTACACTCAATCTTTACAACGAAGTTGACATAACTAAATATAGCAAGCTGATTGCATTTTTGAAACACGAAACTCACAAGGATATAAAGGGAAAAAATCCAAGACTTTTACAGCAGAGTAGATAAATAAGTTCTTAAATGGAGCCCCAGACACATTATATCTCTTCACAAAGGTATTTTAGTTGTTTATCAGTTAACCATGTACATTTTTTTGTTAATATTGAGTTAATTTACCGTAATATATATATAAATGAGTTGTTACAGATTGCACAAATATTTGGTATAATGGGTGCTTGCCGAAGGCAAGAGTTATACAACATACAATTCAAAGATGTTGAAGTCTTCGAAACTACACTATTGATCAAACTAAGTAAAACTAAAACCAAGACGGACCGCTCTTTTACCGTTACTGGGAAATATTATGAACAATGCAAAAAATACATAGAGCTACGACCAACTGAGTGCAGCAATCCCAGTTTTTTTTAAACTATATTGCCGGAAAATGCACGACGCAGAGAGTTGGCATTAACAAATTTGGAGCTTTAGGCAAAGTTATTGCCAGCTATCTTCAACTTACCGACCCCGAATTGTACACAGGACACTGCTTTCGCCGAACATCTGCGACCTTGCTAGTTGACGCTGGTGGAGATATAACGGCACTAAAGCGACACGGTGGCTGGAAGTCAACGACAGTTGCAGAAGGCTATATAGATGATTCAATGACTAACAAGATCGCTGTATACAATTCAATACTTAACAGTATTGAAAATAACAGAAATGAGGTCAACATTAACATACCCTCTCTGATTACCTCCAACAACGCTTCCTGTCCGGTTCAAATTCAGTTTCATAATTGTTATATTAAGAACATCAATAATTATTACAAGTAAAAATAAATTTGTTGTTATATTCAGCGTTTTATTTGCAATATTGTTTTACGTATTATAGTATGAGAGTAGATAAAGTAGTGCATGACACTGTACATAACTTGGTCTTATAACACTCGTGTGATACTATAAAAAAACTGGCCTACGGCTCGTTTTTTTAAAACACACTCATGTTACAAGAACCCTTATTATGCAACAGTATCATAAACTACTATTATAAAAGTCTTTATAACGTTTTGTCTAATCCATCAAAACGGTGGGTTATGTGATTAAGGCTGCGTTGTTTGATACATAGTTTAACATGACATGACCATTTTTTTTTCAAATAATAACTTACACTAACTCATTTAAAACTTACTACAAATATTTTTTGTCTTAGTTGAATAATGGCAGCAGCACTCTATTGTCTCATCTCTTAACAAAAAAGATTTCTTAGTAAATGTTCCGAGTAGTTGTTATTATCCAAACAACGATATTAAATACCCTAGATACACCACGTGCACTCAAAATGTGGCATTTCAAGAAGTGCTTCAACACGATTCAAGCACTTCTTGGTTCACAGTCACGCGTGGACCGTTGAAAAGTCAAGATGTCGCAGAGAGCCGTGAAAAATTACAAAATAAATACTTATACTACGTAAGAGTCGTTTTTTCGAAAGTATGTAATATTTTTTTTTAATTAAACGCATTTAAAGAGACAGAAATTTTGTTCTAATAATAAAATATTTGTGATATTCAAATGCATAGCCAGTAGGTAATATAGCCGTCTCTTTTCCTCGCGGTCCGTACCTGCTATATTGCTAACAGCGCATTCAGAATTGCGCGTACAATCAAAGAAATAAGGTCTTTATTCTTCCACTTACAGAAATAACTCGTTTAATTTTACGAGATTGCATTTCTTACTGTCATAACTCTTTGGCGCACGTGTTTTAATTTAGACTTTAGGTAGTACGCATTAAAAGTAACTTTCAATGTTTAAATAAAGCCCTTATATTGTTTTTGATTACGCGATCGTTGATTGCGTGTAAGAACAGATGAACCTTTTGGACAGGTTTCGGCAACGATTTTGTTCGTGATGTTGTATCTAGGGTATTATATTATATCTTTGTATTCAAAGCTCTAATATGATGTAAATTGTTATTGAAATGTATCCTTTTCGGCACCATTAGTACTCGGTACGGCTTCGTGACATACCAACGAGCTCGCGACGCTTGGACGGCAGTAGAAGCGGCTGGCACCTTCCCGCAATACGACGTCGGCTTCGGAGGGCGTCGCGCCTTCTGTAGGCAGAGCTATGCCGATCTTGGTTAGTGGGATAACAATCACACACAATCGTGCTACCTGTAACACATAAGCTACCAATACGACTTCGGCTTCAGAGAAAGTAGCGCCTTCTGTAGGCAGAGCTACTCCAACCTGGGTCAGTGCGATAACTATCACGTACATACACACTCATAGTATCACTGTTACACTAGCTAATAATACAATGTCGGCTTCGGAAGACGCCGTCCAATCATTAGACAGAGATACGCCGACCTGGGCCAGTGCGATAACCACAACACACACGCTCATTCTATTTCTATCACACTAGCTAACAATACAAAGTCGGCTAAGGAGGACGCCGCGCCATCTGTAGACAGAATAACGCCAACCTGGGTCAGTGAGATAACAATCTCACACACACTCATACTATCACACTAGCTAACAATACGGTGTCGGCTTAGGAGGACGCCGCGCCTTCTGTAGGCAGAGCTACGCCGATCTGGGTCAGTGGGATAAAAATCTCATACTCACTCATACTATCACACTAGCTAACAATAAGGTGTCGGCTTCGGAGGACGCCGCGCCTTCTGTAGGCAGAGCTACACCGATCTGGGTCAGTGGGATAAAAATCTCATACTCACTCATACTATCACACTAGCTAACAATACGGTGTTAGCTTCGGAGGACGCCGCGCCTTCTGTAGACAGAGCTACGCCGACCTGGGTCAGTGGGATAAAAATCTCACACACACTCATACTATCACACTAGCTAACAATACGGTGTCGGTTTCGGAGGATGCCGCGCCTCATGTAGGCAGAGCTACGCCCACCTGGGTCAGTGGGATAAAAATCTCACACTCACTCATACTATCACACTAGCTAATAATACGGTGTCGGTTTCGGAGGACGCCGCGCCTTTTGTAGGCAGAGCTACGCCCACCTGGGTCAGTGGGATAAATCTCACACTCACTCATACTATCACACTAGCTAACAATACGGCGTCGGCTTCGGAGGACGCCGCGCCTTCTGTAGGCAGAGCTACGCCGATCTGGGTCAGTGGGATAAAAATCTCATACTCACTCATACTATCACACTAGCTAACAATACGGTGTCGGCTTCGGAGGACGCCGCGCCTTCTGTAGGCAGAGCTACACCGATCTGGGTCAGTGGGATAAAAATCTCATACTCACTCATACTATCACACTAGCTAACAATACGGTGTTAGCTTCGGAGGACGCCGCGCCTTCTGTAGACAGAGCTACGCCGACCTGGGTCAGTGGGATAAAAATCTCACACTCACTCATACTATCACACTAGCTAACAATACGGTGTCGGTTTCGGAGGACGACGCGATTTTTGTAGGCAGAGCTACGCCCACCTGGTTCAGTGGGATAAATCTCACACTCACTCATACTATCACACTAGCTAACAATACGGCGTCGGCTTCGGAGGACGCCGCGCCTTCTGTAGGCAGAGCTACGCCGATCTGGGTCAGTGGGATAACAATAATCCACATATACACTCATACTATTTGCAATTCAGTGCTTTTTGACAGAAGAACAAAAAATTATGAACTTTGCCCAATAGGCGACCCATAGTTATACTAATTACATTAATAGCAGAAATAACACACCTGCCACACATTTTAATATTTAAATTATATTATGTGGCAGGAGAAACCATTTGCGAAAGTCTTTGACGTGTCCCATATAATTATCTTATCAACCTTCCTTGAGCTGTCTGGATTAAGCTTTCGGCTAAACTCTACCATAATTTATGTTAGTATATGAGATCCAAAGTTGTCAATTTAATATAACTAGAGCTTTCTATCTTTTTCTCTCGTTTAAAGACCAGCTTGTATTATACATATGTATTTTAAAACATAATATATATCTTTTGCAGACGGCCTTGAAGCCAAGTACACAGAGAGCGCTTTCCATGGCCAAGCGGCATTGCCAGCTCGCCGTACCGACGACATGTCTTTCGAGCAAATGCTCCTCGAAATGAAGAAGAAACTCAGCCAAAGGAAGGAGGAGAAGAAGCGGCAAGACGACAACCCTTGACAGTTCCCCCCACCAGCCACCACTCCGTCCACAGACGCCAAATTACCCTTCAACGTGACAGCTTCGGCGGCCCTTTGACCTTGGGATTGTGTTGTTATCTTGACTGTCAGCATGTCTGCTTGTCCGCACAATTTACTCTTAACTTGTTAGCGTGGTAGATGCCAAATTACTTGTCTATGCGACTACTTGGACACCATAACGCGACATGTTTGGCTACCAAATTACTAAATTACTTGCGACGTAGAAGCATACCTCCTCTGAACTGTCAACGGGGCTTCCTTGGCCGTGAGATCACCAGTCAGAGTGACAGCGGCGGCCGCCATCTTGCCTGTCAGCATGACAGCAACGACGCGCGGGTGAGTGCGATGAATTTTGCGCGATCGAGATTCGAGATCATATTTGCTCACACTTATGTACCTTCTTCGAATTCCTTTAGGTGTAACAAAAACAGTAATAAATAGTTCTTAGTACACAATTGTACATTTCGTTGTTCCCATTTTAGTATAGTCTAAATACCTCACTGTAAATATTAGTTCTTAGTTTAGTTATTCTACTTTCTCGTTCGTACATAGGTCTTATGTAAAACTATTAACACTACCTCTTATGATGTTTTATTTAACCGTAGTTATATATTTTTGTGACCATGGATTATGTATAGCTCTGAAAATTGGCGTTTGCTCATTAGACTACCCGGCAAAGGATTTTTTAAGCGAACAGTTCGGACTTTCGTTCCGATAGCCCATATTCGGCTGGATATTTCCGATTTAACGGCGCTGTTGAAAGCTTTTTATATTATTTAAGCTTTTTAAGATTTTTTGCTTTGTAACCTTGTGCAGTGAACTCCGACTGAAAAGACGCATATTGTCCATTTTGATAATTGATGTTAAGAATAATAAAGACTTTTTCTTTGTTATTAAAAAAATATGTGTACATTAGAATGAAAGAGGCTTACTATGATGATATTAGATGCAGCAGCAGCCTATAAAATAAGTTATCTCGATTTTATACATCGACTTATCAACATCGCTACAAACTAAAATAATAGTAGTTTTTTTTTAAATATATAATCTGGACGGTCAAACTATAAAACAACTCCACGATGACGCATCGCCATTAGTTTTATTGATAAATCAAGTAGCACTCACTGTTATTAATGGTTTATAACCTTTAGTAAGAAGTAAGAGTTATATAAAAATTAAATGCTCCTTTTTTATTTTGTGACCGAGTTTTATTGGTTTCAATAGAAATATATCCTTTTAATTGCACTTTTTGATAAATAAAATACATAATTAAATGCAAATTTTAACTGTGCCTTGGTATGACGCAAACTACACTATCGAGATGATTTATTTGTAAGGGTACAACTGTAGGTAGCTTTAATCATACGGAATTGGCGTAAACGTTATCTAAAACCAACTTAAATTAGTATAATTTAGATATTATATCGACCAGTGGATGACGAAGAGAAATAATGGTGCTTATAATGTTTATAATAGTAATGAAAAATCGTATTAAATGTATTTAGCTTAATCGTGTAGACTTGCATTTAGGTTTTATTTTCTCGTTATCTAACAAGACTCCTTCTTTAGCAGACTATTCTTCCTAGAGCAGAAGAAGAATAATTCGTTGTCTCTGGTCTCTCTTTTTCGTATTTTTAGCAGTCTCATTAGACTGCTGTGTTACCATAACTCAAAATTTTCGTTGTATTTGTGATTGCAATATGTAAATATTTCGTATGTAAGTACAGTTTATACTTAAAGATGAATGTGTATAATTTTGTGATTTTGTTTATTTGTTTTGCCGCTTTTTGAACATTGCAAGCATGTAGTTATTAAGATACTAGCTTAATTGAAAGCAATAAGTTCTTATGTAAAACAAAATTATAATATTCCGTTGATGGGAATACAGCAAATATCCAATGTAGCTATTCAAATATAAAAGAGGCATGCAGCAACAAAATATTTTAATGATTTTTTTTATATTCCGAGTAAAGAAACTAGTTATGAAAAGCCCTACTGCGGTCACAGTTAATTGCAATAGGAAAAACGCCCATAAGGTAACGTAACTCCTTGACTGTCCGAAACTATAGCTTACTATTCAAAAAATTAGATTTAAAAGTGCGTAGATTAAGAACAAAACATAAAACATAAAAATGATAATAAAAATAAATACATATGATCCCTATAATACCCGATGACTGATATTATTACATCATTTTATAATATGTATCTAAAAACATCAAAACATTATGTAATGTAAATAGTTAATTCAAAGAGTATTCAAGATAAACGCACGAAGATAAGCAAATGTTACTAGAAAAAAAACCACACACATGGTTTTCTTAGATCAAGTAGGTACCACATATTAAAACTTAAAAATATTGATTTTAAGCTTGCTAGCAAGTCACTAACAAAAAGTAAATAAATAAAGATTATATTTGTAATGAAAAAGATTATTCGTTTATAATAAATAAGCTTCCGTTGAGATTGAAGTGTCAAAACATTAAAAAAAAAATGTTCCTATAGTGAATTTGTCGAAAATAGGGACAATACAAAAATAATAAAATGTAGCAATGTGCACGCAAGCCAAAAGCAGTATCCATCCCATAATATAGTCACTATTACTAAGCAAGCAAATTATTAAGAGCCCTTTCACATTTTTTGCAATAAAAAACGTAAATTTTGAGCGCTTCGTTTACCCCCTTAGAAAAGATTTTGAGTATTTCTAATAGAAGTAAACAGTAGATTTATTCTTCCTATTGTAAGTTAATGTAGAATATTTGCAAATACTATTTTCTATTTTTTGTACTGATCGTTCTACTGCAGCTAGTTTACGGAAAACGATAATATGCACAACTTCAAACGCCTCAATCTCTCAATAATGTTCAAATTAATTACTATGACATCAGAAATATGTTTTTGTTGTAACATAATGTATTAGAATTTTTATTTTCCATCTCATTAACAATAAAAAAAAAACATGTAACTTCCGTGAGTTTTCCCAAAAAATAATGCAGGTTTACCTCGAATTTTGATATTGAATTAAATAGAATTGCTATCAAAAACTTCCATAGAACTAATCTACCATCACTGAACTACTGAAATATGTATATATTTTTATAATTAGTTCATTAATAATTATTTTATAAGACTCGAAACATCACCCGTAAAATGCAATATATACTAGTGCAAATCTACCTACGCGCCGATCAGTACGGCAGCGGCGCAATTTTGTAAAAGGGCTCTTAAGTGTGAGTTGCACCAACTTAAACTGAACAGATAAAGTTAAATTAACCGGTACAGGTAAAATAAGGGTTGTACCATTTGATGATAGTCAAAATGAGTTCATAATTTGACGGTGACTATAACTGTCCAAGCGAAGCCGGTTAAAGTTTTAATATAATTTAACTTTAATTTTAACTGGCTCTGTGGTGCAACTTGCACTAAGTAGGGTAGGAAGGACATTTGAACTTTTGCTTGACATAAAATCAATTACAAATTTGCATATGGTATGAAAAAAATAGTAATTATACTCGGTTTAATCTTTAATTTTTTAACAATTTTCTTTTATAAACAGTGCTAGTTATTTATATCATAAATAGCTATAAATTAAATTCAGCCAAAAGCATTCTATATGCCAGTACCTATATTGAAATCTCTCATATACAAATACTTCCATAGTGTCAAATTATTCAAAAGATTTTGAATTCGCGTCACACCACACAGCCTCAAGTTTAAAAAATCTATTCTAGAAACAAACAAAGAGTTTCTTTCACAGTGTCGATAGAAACATAAATTACATTTGTATCTTTTCAAATCGGTGGCATGACCTGGCGAATTATTCGAATCTTATATTTTTATTATCAACTTATACCGAATGAAAAGATAATAAATACAAGTATGCCACTTTCTCTCCCGATTTCTTTATTTTCCAATTCAGATTGCGAAATTCAAACCCAAGTTCTATGACATCCAATTATAAGTTCATTTTTGAAAACCTAGTCAAAGTTACTAGACTATATTGTGTTTATCTTTGATAATGTGATTATATTTATTATTAATTAAGCAAAAGTCTGTAAAATTCTTTGTAAGCAACCAGTTTTTAATAGTTCGTACCATTTTATATAGTACTTATAAGTGAATATATGGTAAGTTATTCAAACGTACTTCAGTTATTTATAAATAGTTTCAATAAGTAAGCAGACACTAGTATGATGCGGTTTGCTATTCTTAAAAACAACATTGTTGTCGATACCGGTCTGATTCTCTAAACTTAAAACTAAATTTAACAACAGTCTCTCCTTTTCATTCTGTTAAGAGAATGACAAGGGATACACTTGTAAAATTTATTTTAGGTTAAAGAATCAAAATGTAGAATCGGCACCATTATGTTCCCATACAATCATGTTTTCCGATGCTTATGATAGCTATTAAGGTTCACAATGTGGGGATTTTTTGGGAATCCTTATACACCTATTTTTAGGCATCTTGAACTTGATTCTGATAACCCAAAGACAATGTAAAGGTTTACATGATTCCGAATACTCGCTATTATAGAAACAAATTCAAATTGTAAAATGGTTTGTAAGTTAAGTACTTTTGTTTCAGTCATATTATGTTATAAGATTAATAAAATTTAAATAGTGAATTTTATTTATCTCTTGATTTTTATAGTGTTTATATTTTAAGTTGTATTCTGATAATGAATCGAACTTTTCCATTGACAACGCTATCTATTGGTATAAGTTGTAAAGCCTTCAAGATGTGTGAATCCTCATTGCGTTAATTAAAAAATCTTTTGCATTAATTTACTTATGGCGTAATCTTTGTTAAATATTTTTATAGCATTCTCACTTCAAAGAGTCGACTTTCCTTAATTTTTTTGTCAATGATTATTGCATAAGTCGTAAATGAGTATGAAAAACGATTGCATTGTAGATATTTTAAATTGATTAAAGTTTAAGCTAAACAGACTTTTATACCGATACTTTTAGGGTCATTGCAAACTTCAATAGAGATTTAGAGGAGCCCTACTACTAGAGAGGAAGAGGGTTAAAACAAATTAACGAATTTAAAGCTCTTTATGCTTCCATTGTTGCTTCAATAAAATTGAAATCTTATATCATTTGACTTAGGTTGAGAATTATGCGAGAATCCAGATTTCGTACTGGTACATACATTAGTCCATGTAGTATTTATAAAGTAGTACATATAACTATACATAACTACAGTGAGAATGTTTTATACATAAAAGTTGTTGAAAATAAAGTATTTTGAACATAAGAACTATGTCTTTTATTATCACAAATGTCATAAAACCTTTATCACAAAAAGCGATATCTCGTTATTTATTACTTGAATGAATTTAAACGAAAAATATACAAAACCAAAGAAATAATATTTAATAATAAATATATTTTTTTATATTTTGAATTACAATTCAAACGACAGTATTCGAATACTACTATTCGAATTCGATATTTAATAATAAATATTGTTTATATATATAAAATAAAAAAATAATATTTAATAATAAATATATTTTTTTTATATTTTGCGTTACAATTCAAACTACATTATTCGAATAGTTTTGTACCCTTAGCACGAACCATTATCGAATTCTAATAGTTTGCGAGTGCGAAATGTCATTGTCAAAAAGTGTACTGATATTTAGTTCTCGTTACGTCCGTTGTCGCGTTGTTGTCCAAGTTTCCATACAAAATTTTACATTGACATTCCGGACTCGCAAACAACTCTCTCTGGCACTGAATACAGCGCCGTGCCCACTCGTGGCAATCGCTCATATTTGGCCAAACGTAGCGCTTGGATACTAAACGAGCAGATGTTTGTGCACTAGGGTGACTCAAGTTGTGACACCGGTCGAAGGCGGCACGCCGAAACTGCGGTTTAAATTAGGTTTCGGCCGACCTGTCGACGTGTTACATATTGAGGTGACGTCGGATCGGAATTGCTTCTAATTTCAAATTCCATGCGTCTTTCGAGTCCACTTATTCCTCGGCAGTCGCAATGGCCTGCATATTACAGGGAACTCTTGGCAGTGTATGAAAGCGTAGAGCAAACGGGTGGTGATGGCTGTTTTGGCAATACCCTCTTTAGCCACAGATCTAAGGTGCTGAATATGGTTGCCCCACTGAGGCCGGTCGCTAAGTCTTTAATGTGCCTCAACGGATATCGCTCTGGTATGGTCCTGGCGTTTAGACTGCGATAGTTGCCGCAATACGCCAGTTGTTGTCCTTCTTCATCGTCATATGATGAGGAGAAAACCACGGACTGTCGGATGGTCTTGCTATACCCAAGCGAACCATTTCTTCGAACTCTTACTAACGGACGCTAGTTTTTGCGAAGCGAGACGGTGGGGATGGCAGAGACCGGAGGATCGTCCGTGATTTTAATGTTATGGAGGGTGTTGTGCTTGACGACTCTCGGAAGTCCAGGAGGATTGGTAATTTCCGCGAAATTTAAAATCAAAATTTTGAAGGTTGTTCCACAAACGATCGCAGGTGTCTAAGGAAATGGGAAGGCTTCTTATCACCGAGGTCCTCGATGCTGTGGCGCTGCCTGACGCGCTGCTCTTGCGATGCTGAAAGTCGTTTGATAAGTGTTTCTTTCAACTGCAGGTATTTTCCTTCCTTGGGTGGATTTGTGACGATGTCCTCGACCTCCAGTGTTAGTTTAATGTCGATCTGGCTAAGCAAGTAACTGTATTTTGGTGTAGACAGATGTTATCCCTGCAAGGTGAATTTGCGCTTCTGCTTGGTCGAACCACACAGATGGTGCGTGAGACCAAAATGGAGAAAGCTTAATGGAAATCTTGCATGTTTCTGCAAGATTTGAGCTTCTGAAGCTTGAGTACTCTGACTGGAGGAGAATCCGGAAGATTTTGGTTCCGTTGCATTGTAGTTGCAAATGGACGCCATTTGCTGTTGCCTGGCTGGTTAGTTCCGCTCGGAGGCTTTCTATTTCTGCACGTAGATCTTCAGTCATCGTTAGAGCCGTAGAAGGAAAGCTACAAACAGATGGCCGAAAGTAGGTATCGAAAGATTTAAATCTCGGACAGGAAGATACGTGTTTAAGAGATGGAAACAAAACTTACGAACTAAACGAAATCAAAATAAAATAGATATTCTTTTGAATATATATAATATATTTACATTTAAACAACAAATACTTAAAAACTACATGATTACAAAAATTTACATTCCAAATAACCTTAACCTTCTTAATTACTTAAATATATATAAAATACAAAATAAAAAATATGTCACCCCCAGCGTCGCCGTCAGGAATGTTGCCCAATAGGCTGGCAGCATTGCCACGTTGGATGGCAATGCTGATCTGTTGACCTAGATAGCTGCCAGCCTTTTGATCACCAGTCGCTTTAGTGAGCCTCTTTGTCAGTTCCTTAAAAATTATATTCTTTTGAATATTTACAAACTCTTTAAAAATTAACACCTAAAACAAAAAAATGGGTGCGTGTACTTATGTAGGCGCGTGAGAAGTTATCCTTCTTTGGCATCGTTTAAAATTAGTTTTTAATTGCATGCAAATAATTAATTACAATAAATTAATAAAAAGTCCGGAAAAGGACACAGTCAATAAAGTTCAGTTTTAATTTGAAAAAATAAAAAATCGCTACTGAATATAATTTATTAGAACATATGTGTTTTGCACTTGTATGAAACTCAAACACGTATTCCGAATATACAAACTAGAAACATGTGGATAAATATTATAAATATGAATACCTATAACTGTTACTTTATTACAAAAAATAAAGATGTGGTTTTTGGTTCTACTACACCAATGGTCAAGAGACGGCGCTGTAGTCTCCTGAATCGCGCTTTGGTTCCGTTGTTCCAGATTAATAAATACTTTTGATAGGCCTTCACAATGCAGTCGTTAGCACCCACAAAATAGAGATTCTATTTCTATTTTGTTGGTAGGTTTTCTTAATGTGCGGTAAACACAAAAATAAAGCATGAAGTTGGTCGCTAAAGCGGCCAACTTCATGCTGTTAATTTTTTGTGTTACAGTGATGCGCGCGCATCTTAAAATTTCACTCTCATCATTTTTTCATAACGCGCCTAAAGAAGTATAACTTCAAAAACAGATAAAGAGCAAAGTTGGCCCATGCCGCAACAAAATTTTAACATTAAATTTAATAGTCATTAATCATTTCATGGCAAACTAAAGCAAATAAATCTAAGCCTACCACGCAGATGTCTCTG